CCCTTAAAATGAGGGTAAGACAGCATGAGAAATCTCTAGATTTGTTTCTTGCCTTGTGTTTTGAGAAGTGCTAATTTGTCCCAGTTATGACTAAACTTTCATGTAGTGCTTTTTATGATGCTTCCCACTTCACAGATGGGCACTTGAGGCACTGAGAGCTTAAGGCCCTAGGAAATATTCAGCAAGTTTGTCTTGAATGGTGTGCCTTGCCTTAAATCATTGCAGCTCGTCCTTCTTCAAAATCAGCAATGATACAGACTTTGGAGTGGAAGTGATGGGAACTAGATACCCTGTGTTAAATAAGGAGCGTGAAGCTTATGTAAATGTTACCTGTCATGAATGATTGAGCACCCGTAGGCTAAAATGGGGGTGACATGTCCTGAGCTGGTAGGACTGCGTAAAAGGTAGTGGTAATATTGCTGAAGAAATCTATTGACATGTTACACTTGTATTTAAGCAAACTTATTTTGTTTAGCAGTTTAAAAACGCAGTGCATAAAATAGAGTTCTAGATGTTCTCATGTGGCCATCTGTGCTTACATCAGCTAGGATGGGATGCCTGGAAAATACAGGGAATAGTAATCTTTCTGCCAGATGTGAGGAATGGTGTATGTTGTGCTTCAAATGTGTACAGAAGCAGATTAGTTGGAAGACCATAATAGAAAGAGTACAGTTATTTCCCATAGCAATAGCGAGAGCTGATCTGCCTCTCAAAAACTGTGTATAAAGCTTTCTACCTGAACTTTTACACTACTCTCTTCCCCTTTCTGTGCCTGTGTGTACTTTACCTGTTCACTGAGATAATAAAATGTGATAAGTTAGGCAGAATGCTCTTCTGTTCTCACATGTAAGTTTGTAAAACCATTTTTTGTATGTGTAATAAAACCACAAAATACTGACATGGACATAGTGAGGAAACCAGACAAGAATTGCTGTTATGATGTTAAATGGTTTAAAAGTCTTACCATTCCAGTCCTGAAAACTTGACCTCAAAAATACTTTCTTCCTTGTTTAATCACAAAAGAATGTTTTTCTCAATTAAAGGTAAAATCTTTTCTAATCTGTGTTTTTTCCTAATCAAATGCTATGTAAAATTTACAAATACATGAACTGCTACTATTAAATTCTAAACAGTTTATTTGGGGGAATTCTGAAATGTTCATTAGAGCTAGGAACTTGCTGGAAAAGGTCTGGTGTGTGGGCAGGGGGTGTTCTGTTTGTCATTTGTCATTTTCTTTTGTTTTGGAAATAGGATTCTGGCAACCACAGTATAGGAGACAAGACTGCACATGGTTTGTTCTACAAACTAGGTATCTAAGACAGGGTACAAGTAAATGTTCCTTGATGGTGGCCAGGGTATCTAGAAGTTGACAGCTCCATACTGTACTAATTTCTGTACGCATGCTTCTGAGTTTATTGCAGGATCTAAATAAGTTAACCGGTTGCAGTCTGAAAAAAGACTGGTCCAGAAATTACAGTACCTTTAATATGCAGGTCCTGAGGTCACAGAGGAAAGGTCAGTTAACTTGATAACATTACGAAGTGGCTGAAAGGTAATCTTTGCTCCAGGATTTTGGAAGCACTGCACCTTCAGTAATTATGCATATAGTGACTGTAGGCTTTCAAAAGGAATTGCTGACTGGCTTAAATTTCTTAATGGTGCGGTAAACCCTGCCAGCTGCCATTATTACTTGTACTGCTGCCTATCCGTCTGTTTGCTATCATGGTAATTATTTAATTTTAGTAAGTAGTTCTGACATCTTTTTTATGTTGCTACTGTTCAGAGGTATACAGCTGTCCCGTGTTCTTACTCATTAGACTGTAAGTCTACACCCAGCAGGCAGTAGCATTTGCCTTGGAAGGGTTTGACTAATACAGTTCAGACTAACTGGTGGCTACCCTTAATAACAAAAGATAAATATTAGAGAAAATTTAGAATCACTCGGTGAGTCTAGTACTTGACAAGCTAGAACATAATTGTATGTACAAGTTAAGCATGTTTTATGTTAAAATACCTCATAGACAGTACTAAAGAGGGAATGATTCTGATGTTCCTGCATATGGATGTGGTATACACAAGTGAAGTTGAGTGAAAATGCAAAGCCATTGGACCTGGACACAGCCTGAAATTTTATTTCTTGTGCCTTAGAACCACGCAATTATCTCTTTATAACTGCTACTGGATGGCACTGGGGTGCTTGTTTAATGTGTGACCTAGCACATATGTTTGTAGAGGGCCAGATGGGCTCAAGGGGAGGATTTGCCATCTCTGACATAAGTACCTAGTCTAAAGTCTAATTTTGCAAGTGTATCTTCTCTGGCAACCAGTGTCAGGTATAAACCGAGTTAAATGTGAATGTATTGACTGGCCTAATTTACAAGAACACTGCTTGCAGTGCTTGAGCTATTTTCTGCAAATCAGATTACTGAGGAATGTGCAGTTTTAATCAGTTCAAAATATTCTGTTTCTTTGTAGCATAACTTTGGAAAAACTTGTCAAACAGTGTGAATCTAAATACTAAAAAAGGCATAGAAGTCAGCTGTAATGGGTAGACCTACTTTGTTGATTTTTGTAAATTTGACATCAAAAAAGCACGATTGGGAAACAATTACCACCCTTTGTTCTTTAAGCTATGAAATGTTCCAGGAAAAAAACAATTCTTATAATTAAGATTTGTCTAAGTATTCTATCTTCTTCTGTAAAGAAGAGTCATGGTTAAGATTTTCCATGTTTGGTTTCTACCAAAGGTATGAGATGTCATTTTTAAATTGCATGGGCAAACAATGACCTGAGGTGTTTTTTTTGCCAACTTCTGTTTCATTCAGTGTTGCGAAGCCATTTTGTATTTGCAAAATTTGGTCTTGGGCTTAAAATTATAACCATGTATGGATTGTGTTCATATAGAAAGAGTATGAGAACCTAGCTGAGTAGCAAATCAATGTGGTGTATTACTTCACATGTTTATATGCCTGTCTGAAAACTTGTTTGCCACCCATGCTCTCCTAGTAATTACCTACCCAGAACCTACTTCTCTATTTGATGCTCCAGGATGACCAAGGTGGTCTCTACCATGAAGAGAAGTCTGGAAGGGGAAGAGAACTAAAGGAAAAGAATTGACCGGGTTCTTACACAGGTGTTTCACTGAGGACCTGATAATAAACCTGGGTTGCCTTGTAGAAGAAGAGGTTAATGCAGGACCTAGACTCTGACTTGATAAACTAGTCAGCCTTGATTCGTGTCCCCAGACTGGCTGAAAGCAGTTGTCTGGCCATGAGTAATGCTAACGGGTGTGTTGCTGAATCATAGATCAGCATTGAGGCAGCCGTGAACAGTGAGTGAATGGTTGCTGGCAATCTGCTTAACTGTTAGTTCCACAGATAAGCTTATCTAAAGTCACTTAATGGGCTATTTGTTTTTTCTTCTCTGTGCCTGTAATGGTGTTTTAAGCACTGAGCTGTGGCTTCCAGTGAAAACTTGCAATTTCAGTATGTAGTTTTCTGGATAGAAAAGGGACAGCTTATCAGCCCTATCTGAAGTCTGTGTTCTGGTTACATGTTCAACTTGGTGGGCTGGGTTCAGCCTGCTTCCAGCCTCTTTTTCAAGTTTTTGGATGATGGGAGAATGCTGACCAATCTGGCCAAAAAAAATGGGTAAAATGTTTTCCCCTTGTGAGGGGGAGAATACAACTCTTAGCCATGTATACGGCCCAGTAGAAAGCTGAAGAGTGTCCCATTTGTAGCAGTCTGCATGGATTGTAGTAGAACAGCATCTGTCCAAAACCTACTACTGAAGCTGGACTGTTCTGAGGCTGTATGCCATCTCCACTTCTTAATCTTTTCAATCATGGCTTGTAAATTGAAGTAGAAGGAGGGGAGGGTGGGAATGTTATCATTCGCATATAAATTAAACTTCACTGGTCTTTTGCCATTGGTTTGTCTGTCATGACCAAATAAGTGTTTTATTTTTTTTGGACTGCTTGTTTGTGCAGACTCTTCTGAATATGAATGCCTTGCGTACGAATTGGGTTTCTCTTGAAGGTCTTCTGAGACTGAGAGTTTGACCAGGGAGCTGCTTGATCACCAAAGGGTTTGAGCAGGATGTACAGCTCTGACTTGGTTCTTCTTGTCTGCTCTTAGAATAAAATGCGAGAGTATCTGATAATCCCTAATTTCTGGAATCAACATGGGAATAGATAAAAATGGTTGTAGTAAGGGGTATAATGATTTTTTCAGCGTTTTTTAAGATTAAATTGACTATATAACACTGTTTAAGTGAATGCTCACTTGTGTTGCCACCTGATGATGAGCAGCCATACTGAGAAGTTCCTTCTAAGAACCAGTGAAATATTGGTGATAATTACTGGGTGGTTCTTCTCAAGACCTGTTATTCTGGGGGAAGGAGAGGGATGACCTGTTCTAGCAGCCCTGTAATTTACTGCTGCAAGAAGAATAGTGTAACTCCTAGTTTAAGGAACTCCTTTACCTTGCCTGTCTGAACATACTCTGTTCCTAGCTTTGAAGAAACTTCTGACTCGGTGTATTTATTTTTTTCTAGCTTATGAGTTCATGATGGTTTTAATTGGAAAAAAGCAAATTCCAGAAATATTGTACCACAGTTAGTGGTATCTAAGCGCTTGGCTACAGGAGTGGGTGAGGTCATTGAGCTTCCCCAGTGGGGAACTAGCTGCTGATGGAAACTCGGCATGCTTTTTTTTTTTTTTTTTTTTTAGTGAGATCATAGACAATATTTAACGTTTGGGGGGGTTGATACTGCTTGAATGTTGACCCTCCTGATGATTTTGTGATGTTCCTTTAAAATGGCATAGAGTTTCATAAGGCTTAGGTGCTCCTGGATCTAATGTATTCGAAGGCATCTGCAGTTTGCTTAACAGAAATAGTGATAATAGCATTAAATATGCTGTCAGTTTCTGTCTTGTGAACTCTCCCTTAAGTATTGGCTTATATTCAAGCTGTTTTGCTCTTCTGGTGTCTTGTTTTCAGGCTGATTTTGAGGAGTGAGCGGGAGGTACCAGACTCGATGAGTTTCCATCGAAATGTCGGAAAAGTCAGGCCAGAGTACAAAAGCAAAGGATGGAAAAACAAAGTATGCAACACTCAGTCTGTTTAATACTTACAAGGGAAAGTCACTGGAAACTCAGAAAACCACAGGTGAGTTAAACTGACTTTATTTATGCATTCTGTTTCATCATTACTGTTGTGCAGCTAATTAAGAGTGCAAAGGATGTGATCATTATCAAGCAGTTAAAAAAAATTGGCTGTGGTTACAGTCGTTAATAGGAAGAATTGTGGAAAAAACAATCTTGATTACGTTTGCTGGTTACCTATGAGCTAGAGTTTCAGTTAAGGGGGTCAGTGTTTTCAGTCTATTAGCAAAGCAGAATATAAGTAAATAAGAACTGTTCTACAGCTGCAGTTTACATTTGTTATCAGCATATGACAAGCCATTTCCCAGCTGTGCTTTTTAGTGAATTTTTAGAAGATATTCTCAGAGGTAAAAGCACTGCTGTTTTGAGATCTTTAGTGAACGCATTTGTTCCCTGAGTGGTATAAGTAATGAACTTGGGCAGAACTGGAATTGTCTGATTACCCAAAAAAAAACAGGGGGCGGGGGGGAAATGTGTATTTTCATGTTCTTTTGTCTGTTTTGCTGACAAAAAGGAGGGGGACTGTTTGAAGAATTGGGATGGAGGTTCCAAATTCGTTGAAGTTTACTATAATTTTCAAAGGTTGCAACTGAGATGCCTGATATAACGTGTTTAGGATGTCATCTTATACTCGTTCATCTGAATTGAGTAGCTGGTAGGATGAATGTCCAACGTAGTGTGTTGGCTTCACACTTTTTTCGTAATAGTGGTCTGGAGTAAACACACTGAGGAATGTTTTTGCAAGAGCAGCATCTGCCAACTGAAACTGGCAGCAAAAAAAGTGGGATGGAACCATGTGGGGATTCCTGGACACAAGGCATGTTACACCCACCAAAGGACTGAGAGAATATCACTTGATGACATCTTAAAGGATATTAAGAAATCAACATAATATTTAAAATGGCTCCTCTAACTTTCTGTCCTGAGCATTGTATACAAACAGGGGCGGGGCCCTATATCCCTTTCTGTTTCTGGAATAGCTTAACCATAGTGACATGTTATTTAAAATACTCAAGTTCTCTCAGGCCAAGTATTGAAAATTCCCATTTTTAAAATGAAGTCATGAAGAATATGGATTTCTAATTCGTAGTCCTAAATTTTTTCACTTTCTTGCAAACCTTTAAGATTGATTCCTGCACCTTTGCAGGGATTCTACCTGCCACTCAGCATTGTTAAGTTGAGCTTTCTATTTTGACATGTAGTCGCCACACGCCATGGATTACAAAGCCTTGGAAAAGTTGCTATTTCGAGGAGGATGCCTCCGCCAGCTAACCTCCCCAGCCTCAAAGCAGAGAACAAAGGCAATGACCCTAATGTGAACATTGTGCCTAAGGATGGCACAGGATGGGCTTCAAAACAAGAACAGCACGAAGAAGAAAAGTAAGTGACCAACAAGATCAGGGTTGTTTTGCTGTAACATTTCTCAAGTTTTTTAAAACTAGTGATGGGTAGGGAGTGGGAAGGAACTGTTTAGACTTGACAGTCCTTAAGATAGCTACTAGAGAGGACAAAGCATCACTATAAATTTTTGTAAGGAGTAATATTACTATTAGGGAATAGTAACTGTGGGAAGGGGGACGCAACAAAAAGCACCAAAATTGGTTTAATTTCCTTAAAATCCTCTTTAAGCTCTAAGAGGAATCTGTGGGTACACAGCAGCTAAGTTAAATAATAGCTTGCAAGTTTGTGAGAATGCAAAGATGTACAGTTTAATCTGTTTTTCCTGATGTAGGGCAGCAAAAGCTTATATCCTTGGTTTGTATCTGTTGGTTAGAATCTCCTCTTTGTTTTCCTAGTGGTTCTTAATACTTGCACTTTAGTTTGTTTGGTTAGTATGCCATAAATTCCACAGCCTTCAAACAAAAATTTTGTATCTTAAATGTCATGCTATAGTTTCACACTGCCACAAGAAGTAATACAAACAAAACAGAAGTGGGGGTGATGTTGATTTTCACATGTATGCTATGTATAATTTAATTGCCTATGCTCAGTTCAGTTTCATCCACTAAGTTTGTTTCACAATTGCATGGGAAGTCTCTTGGCAACCTCAAAAGAAAATAGAGTAAAATGTTTCAATAATCTAATCAGAAAGTGCTTTAAAGCGAAATTTATTGCCATTTAAGCTTAAAAAAACAATATTGTTCTCACTGCAGAAGTGGAAGTGGTTTTTAAGTGTTTATTCTTCAACATACAAATTGTTCTGAAAACAGAAGATAGAGGCACTGAGTTCAAGTTGTAGGAAGAAATGTCTGCCATCTTCAATCTGGATATAGATCCAGTTTCATGCTGGAAATTGAACTCATGGAGCCGTGGTTGTGGTTAACTAAGCTCTGCAGCCAGTTTCTCAATCATGCAGCAGAGGCTTTGCTGTTTGTTGCAGTGATGTGGTGGCGGTAGTTTGTTGTGCTCTTGTGGAAGTAACAGATGATTGAAGGCTGGCTTCCCCTTCTTGCTGTCACTTCATTTCTTCCTATGTATTTTCCTACATTTAGATGTCATTTTTGACATCTCTCTGAAAGGCTGTTAGACTTCAGGAGATACTTTTTGTGTTTAGCTTTTATTTTAGGTTTACGAAACCACAAATTTACGATACTCTGCCCAGTGTTGTATGGTATTTTTTCCTACACATCAGAGGCTATTTACGTTTGGTCTAGTTAAATTGGTGTTGAGCTCAATGGCTTGTTTAATAAAAACGCACTTTATAATGTTTGTCCCAGTGGTTGTGTGTCTGTAAATAAATAGCTACCCCTTATCTGCAACTGGAAGGTGTTTGCCTTGGTTTTCGTTATGCTTTATTCTGATAAAAGCCTTAAAAACCACATACACGTAAAACTAATGGGTGGAAGGAACTTGATGCCTCACAGTGGTGTGTATGCCTAGGCCCCAAGTCACGTTTCCTAAATTCAAGCCATCTAGAGTTTGGTCAAGTCTTCAGACCATTTTTCTCCAATTTTCCATGTGTTTTTAAGTGTTGCCATTTCCGAGTGTTCTGATATTCACCCCAAGAATGCTGGATAAAGGAAATCTCTTTATCAGCTTGGTATTTAGCTTAAATCCTTTTTTCTATTGTTTCACTATTTTGGAGTTCTCATGAATTACTTGTTTCCTGTGATTACTAATTCTTTCCCTGCTGCTTTCCCAAGTTGTTGCTCTTCCTACGTGTATTGCCTCTGTCCCTTTTCCTGGGTAGTGCAGCCAGTTGTGCATTGACTTGATTAAATCAGCTGGCCCCAAGCTGAGTTCTTTCCCTCATTAAATCGTATGCCTATAGTACAGTGCTTAGATAGCTGAGCCTGTTTAGAACTGGAGTTACGTAACAGAGAGGAGCTCCAAGGAATAAAATCTGAGATTTAAAGCATTTACAATTGCTTTTCAAATATTATGCATAGCTGTCTGTTAGGAAGCTAACTGTATAACATTTATAGAGATAACTGCAGAATCTGAGGGTTGTTTTCCAGAAAAAGATGTTAATGGGTGTCAGTTTATTGTTATCCTTCATTCAAAGCAAATTCATTTTCATGGCCTGTGGTGCAAAGGGAGTAGGCTACTGGGCAAACTTGCACTAGTTGTCTCTTCACTGGTATGATACAGCAGGTCTAGACTATCAAACTTCCCGTGTCATTCTTACGTTACCAAAAAAAAATGAGTACTTGGGAGCTGGAGGTCCTGACTGGCAGAGACATGGATGCTTTGAAGTCTTAAGTTAATTGTATGTGCAGGTTTCAGACATTCTTGAAAGAGGTTATGCAGCATTACTGAATTTATAGATTAAAAAGTATTTTCCTCTAGAATACGCTCACTTTTTGGATTGGAAAGAATGAGGAGTTGTTAAACGTCTGTTTTCATTGTCAAGATGGCAAAATTGAGACTGTCTTTGCTTTTAACAGATGTAAACTTTCTTGTTCCAATTCATGGTACCCATAATTTTTTCATAATGTCTCTAGCTTTCATTATCAGTTCTTTTTACTTAGTAATTTCTGACAAGCTCGTCTTCTTTCTGTATGTTCATGGCAGTCTTTTTTAAAGTTCTTTCTTCTCCCAGCTCCTGCGCCAAGAGAACATTATTCTGAATTATACCCTTCCATGGCTGTAGATTTTTTTGATCAAATTAGCTAATTTATTCCAATTTTAACTGTTACTGTCACAACTCCTTTTATATGAGAAAATGCTTTTTCTACAGCAAAGTAGTTAGTGGTTCTTCAGCTGCATAGTTACCTCCTTTCATTCACTTGTTTGCTGTAGTAATCCTGACAATCTTATTCTGTGCTCGTTCTCTTGTATTCATGAGTGCTTTTCCTCTAATTTCAGACAGCCAGAGGTGCCACAGACACAGCCAAAACCTGCTGCTCCTGCTCCTCCAGAAGCACCTCCTGTTACCAAATCATGGGCCAACACCAAGCCAGGTGGACAAGATGGTAAGTGATGTTAAAGGTTCTTGTCCAGCCTTGTGGGCTCTGAATGCTGCTGCGAGAGACCCAGACTCAGTCTTGAGCAAGCCAGCTGGGACTAAGAATGCTGTGGAAGCAACTTTCTTGGCTGAAAGTGAGCTAGTCCTGTCACTCAAGCGAGCTCCAGCCCAATTTAGCAGCAGGTCTGACTGCCTTTAAAGGACCTGTGTAGCTTTTTTTTTTTTTTTTTTTTTTTTTTTTGAATTGAGAGGGAAGTGGTGGTCCTGGCATAAAGTGCTGAAATGTGGCAGTGGTGGGGAGGGAAAATCTCAGTAGTTGCCAATCATACAATTTTGGCATGAGAACCGTAAACAGTTAGTAGTTGATATAGTCATAATTTTGGATTGTTTTCTGCAAAATGTGTGTAATCTCACTTCTGTTTAAATGTTTACCATGACAGTACTTTTGTTTTATAGATTCCTTACTTGTTTTGTTTTCAAAGTGAAAGTAGACTATCTTTTTTTTTTTTTTTTTCCTGGGGAAAAACATTAAAGCTGTTTTTGCTCTGTTTTATATAATAGTTCTCCATCATTTCATACAACATACAATTTCCACTAGTGTGGATCTCAGCTTGAGTGTTTTTGTGACAGGTATAACGTCAGACTTAAATCTTCAGCAGGGTTTAAAAATTGCTCCTGGAGTGAGAGCTTACTTAAGATTCCTGTCTCTATTTTGGAAATTAACAACATGTTTTATCCCTTAAATTTGAAACTTGCAAGCTTCCTGTGACTGAAAAAAAATACTTGAATTTTGTATTGACAGTTTTCTTAATGAAAGATTTCTCTTTCAGATAGAAATATTTGAGTAGTAAAATCTAGATTGAATGGAGGTAACTTCTAAGCCATTATTTGGAGTTTAGCATGTATCTAATGGCTTGACCATTATTTTTTTGCTGTGTTAGAAGCTACAATTCTAGATTCTTCACTTCTTGTTCTCCAGTGTAATGTTCAGTGTTTCCTTCATTCTCAGATACAGAAAAATACATAAAGCTCTTGCAAGAGTGTTATATAATAGAGGTTTCAAAAAAAAACACACAATGCTGGAATGCAGAAAACTTTGCAGCAGGCTTTCTGCATAAGCTGATAAGATCTTCTCTGATGTGACACAGCAAATAGTGATTCAGCTCAATGGCTCCAAAATGCATTTAGCTAATTATTTTATGGTTACCATGGTTGCTTCTGTGCCAAGCCCAGATGGTGTCCTCATTTCATTCAATTAATGCAGTAGGGGGGTTGCTGTTTCAAGAAGAAATACAGAATGAGAATTGGCATCAGCTGCTTGCTATCATCCTCAGTTTGCGACTTGGGATACACCTGTTGTGTTCATACTTTGCTGATCTGCAGTTGGCTGGTGGAACTTGTACTTCTTCCAGATGCCTCGTATGCATTCCAGCAGTCGTCCAGCCAACTGCCTCATGCTCTTGTGTAAGACTCAACTTGAGTCAGGCAGAACTAAGCCCTTCTCTGATGCTGTGGGTGACCACATAGAAAAAAGAAACTCTATGATCTAATGACCAGCATTTATTTTTTGGTCCACACATAGATTAGGAGTTGGGATTAATTGCTACCATCAAATCTTTGATAATTCTTATGCTTGTAATGCAGTTTTTAGGCACAGAGCTAAATATTGTAGCATTTGCTTGTCATACTATCACAAAGAAAATGAAAACAGTGAGGATCCCTGTCTTTTATCTTGTATTGCTATGAAGGATTTTTTCACGGATCACAGAGAACATAGTCTCTTCTAGCTGCTGGCTTAAAAAAAAAAGAAAAAGCACATATAGTGGAGGTTGGATTTTTGGGGGCTGTAAGTGTTCAGATCCTTTTTTTGTCAGTTTGCCTTAGAGCCCACATAGCCTAATACACAGCCTCTTACAGTAGCTACTAAAAGCAGGAATATGAGCAGGCTGTTATTCAGGCTGTTAGAATAGATATCTTCCCTCAGTAAGATTATCAGTCATTTGATATTAGAAGGCTGTTGACCTAAGAGGTCAATATTCATTATGTATATGAGATGGGGAGATTGATTCAGAGTAGATGCAAATGAAACCTGCTATAGAAGACAATCTACTTATTTGGCCTCTCTACCATGTGCAAAAGAAGTCTTAAATTCCAATCTGGACTTAGGATGTTTTAGCTTTTAGAAATCAAAACATGACAGTGCTTTGATACTTCTCTTGCAATGTAAATTTGGCCTTTAAAAATCCTGAGAAACTTACTAGAATAGTGAATAATCTCAAGGACTTTTTGCAATACCGTGGTTGCCTGTCCTTGGGTGGACAGTGATTATAGAATAAAAGAAGGGAAATCCTTGAAAGGAAAAAAAAAAAGATGTGCTAACATAGCTGAAGAACTTCAGGTATTCCCCCATACTATGTCTCATTCCATTGGGCAATTTAAGCTGTTGATTATTGCTCTCTGTTGCTTGCTTCTAGATTATTCTCATTCCAAATAAATGTGATAGCTGGCTTAGTAAATTTAACAACTTCGGTAGCGAACGTGAATGTTTTATGAGGATTGCTCTTGGCTCAGTAAATTAATGCGATTCTATGGTTCACATTTTAAAGATGATCAGGCTTATAGGATTGCTTTCTGAACTGTTGATTACGGAAAATTTGTGACTCTGTGAGTATCTTCTTTTGTAGGTCCAGCTCTTCCAGTAAATAGTTATTTCCAGCAAGAGTTTCCCAGTCTGCCGGCAGCTGGGGATCAGGAAAAGTCAGGCAAAGATAAAGATGCATCTGAAGAGACCCATGGATCTGGACCCAGCTTACGACCACAAAGTAAGTATATGGTACAAATTTTTGTGAAATTGCATGCAGTTGTCTGGAACTCATTTATTACAGGAGTACATGCTCCCTGTATAAAATAGTTCATGAATTTGTTATTTTAACAAACATACCTACAGTAAAGAAACAGCTGCAAACTGTCCTCCCACATGAAAATCGTGTGACTATATCCATCATACAGTTGGCTTGTTTAAGAAATTGTCAAAAAGATTTTTTTCTACTTTACTGTGTTCCCAGTGTGGAAAACAGGTGTTCAATCCTCTCCTGCAGTACACTCTATTTGCCAAGTCTGGTCAGTAGTCCACTTGTGCTTTGAGGAGCATTGGTTAGTTGCACCGTATTCACATTTTCTTACTTCTACCTGCCAGATATCACAGTGGACACAACGTGTATTTAGAGAACTCTCTAAATAACTAATTAAGTACAGCCCTCATCACTTCTATTCCTTCCTTATTCAATACAGGCCAGGCTCTGGTTACCTGTCTTTACTTAGAAATACAGTGCATAGATACGTCATTTCGAGCTGCTTAAGAGAATCATGATAGGCCTCTGCATAAGCAGCTTAATCTTTGCATTTTATTATTATCAATACCTTTCCTAAATCACCTTGTGTTTTGGAAGGTAGAGAAAAACAACTAGTGGTCTGTAGATTTAACTCTTACCCTTCAGGATCACAGCTGGAGGTAGGGCTGGAGAGGATTAGAAATCATTCCCTGTTTCTCAAGTGGCTATTGTTTGTGTCAATAGCAAGTACAAAAGTCTGTCCGTGCACATTGCTATGTCATAGAGCTGCGTAGGAAGAATGTATTTTTCCTCATTCCTGTCTGTGAATACGCAATATAAAATCTGTCCTTGTTTTCTCGTACTGATTCTGTCAATGCAGATGCTACTAACTGGAGAGAAGGCGGTAATAAGGGCAATTCTACAGCTGATCAAGAAGGTCTTGGGCAAGAAGATGGCAACGCTACACCAGCAGAACAAAACGATGGCCAGAAGGCAGCAGAGAAGAGGGATCCACGGTTACCACAAGTCCCACAGCCCAAGCTGAATGGCCAGCAGCAACCACCTATCTCATCTCAGTACAGGGCAATGATGCCCCCTTATGTAAGTGGTAACACAAAAAGTTTGATTATTGGCTAGTGTGATTCCTTTAAACCCCTCTCTCCTCCCTCCAAGGAAAGCTTAGTAGTTTAGCTAGAACAGTGGGAAAACAACCAGATCCCCCAAGGATCTGCCTGCATATTGTCACTCCTGCTGCACTAAGTTTCAACTTGTCAGGAGTTGATGAATACTTGAATTGCTCCACCTTGGTGGCTTGATGTCACATGCTTGTCGTTTGAGAAGTTTTAATTGACTGTTTTAATTGAAGAGCCTTACTTTACTTCCATTATGATTCCTTTGATGTTGTCAGTATGTTTAATGCAATGATGGTTTTTAACAAATGTCTCCCGTTTGAAACTTTTCTTAGATGTTCAATCAGTATCCTAGAATGGCGTATCCTCCTTCCATGCAAGGCCCCACAAGGTTTCCAAATTCTGAGCCCAGTAGGTAAGACACCTTACAAGTGTTCCTGTTTTGTAAGTATGAACTGTGTGTGTGATTCAAACTGGGGGGAAAAAATAATAACAAAAAAATACTTTGCCCTGTAAGTCTTGATTACAATTATATGCTGTCACTGATTAGTCTCAAGTTTGGCTTCTGTGGAGCTGTGTCATGGAGTGGCTTTTGTTTCACAGCTCAACTGCAAAACTTAAAGGAATTCTGCATGTTACAGAGCTTTTGAATCTGAAGAGCAGGAGGCAGTTAGGGACACAATTGTAACTTCAAGCAGCACTTCGACTGTCAAATGACTGTTGTTGCATTGTCACAAAGTAAATTCCTAGTTCTCAACTCTACTGTTCATCAGTGAAAGTAGAACTCTAGTCCTTTATGAAATCAATTTTACTCCTTTCTCTGTGTGTTTCCCTTGTTGAGGATGGCTGTGCACATGCACAAAATGGGATATGAAATAGGATAGGATACAAAATGGGATAGGAAATGGGATAATATAGGCGGTATGGTATGAACTTTTGACAAATAGTCTATGGTTGGAATGCAGGAAGAGAGCGGGAGAAGCTGGACAATGAGAGAACTTGAGTATAGGAGTATGAAGAGTACAGAAGCTTTGACAGTAGAAAAAGCATGAAAAATGCAAACAAATATCTTTGAAGGGGATAGTGGCATAAGAAGGGTGGCTTTCTACTGTCAACAAACAGCATGGGACATTTGGCTTTTCTACGAAGTGTGCAAGCAAGGCTATGTTATCTAATCTTTCTCTTCCATGGAGAACTGTGGTGGTGTAGCAGTAATGATTTGAACTACAGTAGTCTCATGTATGGATGATGCTTCACATTTAAACTGATGTGAGAGAACAGCGTAGTGTATACTTGAAACAATTGTCATACAAGTTGGCCTTCTATCTAGCTATTTGCTGGATAAATAATGACAGTCGCCTTTGTTTCTCTTTTTCAGAGGGCCAAGAGGAAGAGGACCACCTTCGTGGTGTTCAGAACCTATTGAGCGCCCGTCCATTCTTAGTGCTAGTGAGCTGAAAGAACTTGATAAATTCGATAACCTTGATGCTGAGGCTGATGAAGGCTGGGCAGGTAAGAAGGTCAGACTGGTGATTTCTGTTATTTGTATACCAAATCCTTCTGAATGATTAATGGAATATTTGCTTATGCATCAGGGGCTCAGAGTGAAGTGGATTACACCGAGCAGCTGAACTTCAGTGATGACGATGAGCAAGGAAGCAGTCAGAAAGAGAAGGAAAGTGGGTGAGTTGGTGTTGCCAGTTGGTGTGAATGCCACATAACTAGCTTAGCTCTTGGGAAAGTTGAATGAAATGTAAGAAGTACTCATTTCAATAACGCTTATTGCAGTAATTTAATATTGTATTAAACGGCATAACTGTCTGCAGATGGCAGTCACGTGGGCATGCAGTGGAAGTGATTTTTGCTGTGAGGATCTTTCACTCCTGCTAAGAGATGCAGGGGATAGAAGATAAATCACCAAAGAGCAATATGGAGTACACCTTTGATTTTTCTTACTTCTTTGCACAGTGATGAACAAACACCAACAAAAGATTCTCAGAGCCCAGATGGCCAGAAGGAAGCAGAAGAGCAGACAAATGCTAAGTCTGCCACCCAGGTTTCCACAACAGCGGCCAAAGGGCCTTATGGCAAAACTCAGCCTGATCAGGTTTGTGTCTTCTTCCCTTCAACTCTTCTGGCATCGGGTGTCTTTTCAAACTGCCAGGTCGATTAAGGTTGCGAACATGAATAAAAGCATTAGTTACTGCTTATCTTAGCTGCAATAACTGATGGAGTGCTGTTTAGCTTTTTCTGGTCCCAAAATAAAGTAGCATGTATTTATCTAGCGTGTTCTAATCCACAGATGTGAGGCAGTAAGAACTTTTACGTTGGTTGCTGTGGCTCAAGTGATGTGCCTTAGCTTGATTCTTTTGTCTGTCCATTACTGTAACAGAACGCAGCCATTCTGGTGTCCATCATGTTTTATAGTGGCACAGGGCAAATAGCACCCTCTTGGCCCACATTTCCTGATTTTTTTTTTTGTTTTTATATCATGACCTGGCTCTCTTTAATACAAACAGTATCATAACAGCTTGCTTCTTACTTCTCAGGTAGACAAATTTTCTACAAACGATATAGAATTCATCAGTTTGACCTTTTTGATTTTTGGGTTATCCTGTAATAAAAGAAGACTGGCAACCAACTCAGTTTATATCTACTTCAATCTGTTGGTTGTTTTTTTTGCCCTTAAGAAAAGATACTGTTGGCTTTGTCTGAAAATTTCAGGGAAACATTTTCTTCTGACAACAGTAAGAGCAAAGATGGATCTTGAATTAGTTTCCATTGCACTTTTTCTCTGTGTAAAGATCATGTAGTCTTCCATGGTTTGATGCTACATTGAACCTAAGGGAAAACAGTGCAGTGGACTAAACTCTGAAATTTGGATGTGTGAATTTTTAAAGTTGTACAACTGTATCAGTACGTGAAATGGAGATGTCCTTGCCCTCTTTTTGCATACAGATTTATATAAAAGGTAGTAGAAAACAGTGCATCTAAAACTTGCTAGCCTTACTTCTGTTGTAAGTTTGTTTACCCTGCTCTTGTGTTTGATCCAATAGGATCGGGGTCCAGCACAGCCCTCTATACATGACAGAGGTGGTCCCGTTCATCCCAAATCTATTCTACCACCGGTAAGAAAGATTAGAGTTGTCCTTATTTTCTAGAGTTAAATTCTTTAATGTGATGTTGGAGGGAGTTAAACTAGGAAAAGTAAACATGCTTTGTATAGGGGTAAGCCTTTTCTGTAACAAGTAAAGTGACCCAGAACCTGGGGCTGAATAGGAGTGGGACCTCAACACAACCACACTGCAAACTGTGTAAAGCAGCCCCATCTTGAAAGTGGCGTATGCAATACATGCAAACTTCCAGAGGTTTTGGTTATCCAGTGTTTGTGTGGGGAATGGAGGGGACAGGGATGTGGGGAGGTTGTTCAGGGGCTGAATGTGGCCTAGTATTGGCTGCGTGCCCAGGCAGACAGGGAGATGAAGTTCCAAGTGAAGTGTGGAGATGGCAGCTTCTTTCCAATTTTCAACAGTCCTTTTTAAAATCACTGTTATCCTGTGACAACCTTGAATTTCTTTGGCTCCTTGGGGGATTTTGAATTATCCCCAACAGGCTGTAACCAAATCTAAAAGGTTTTTGTCATCTTCGTAGTCACTTTGCCTTAGCGATGATAAGGAGCAGTGACATGAGCCCAACTGAATTTTTTCTTCTCCTTTCTGAGCTCAGGTTGCATGGGTTGTAACTGGAGCAGGAGGGTGGGGTCTTGGTTTGTCTCTCAAACCTCACTTTTTAAAAGTGCAATCCAAATGCATCTGTTGGCTGTAGTCAAAATGCCTATTTCACCTAGCTGTTCCATATGATATGTGCTCTACCTAACTTAGTGATTTAAATATTGCAGCATCCTCCTCCTCCTGATCGCCAGATACCTGGAAGGCAGGGACCCTTTCCCCCTAAACCAGTACCAGATGAAGATGAAATATGGAAACAGAGGAGAAGACAACAATCAGAGATATCTGCTGCAGTTGAGCGAGCCCGTAAACGACGAGAAGAGGAAGAAAGAAGAATGGAAGAACAAAGAAAAGCAGCTTGCGCAGAAAAGCTGAAACGGTTAAATGAGAAATTTGGCTGTATGACAAAACCCTCCCGAGAAGACCCTTTAAAAGAGCGAGAGCGAGAAAGAGAGAGAGAGAGGGAAAGGGAAAGAGAAAGAGAAAGGGAGCGGGAGCGGGAAAGGGAGAGAGAGAGGGAAAGAGAACGGGAAAGGGAAAAGGAGAGGGAGAGGGAAAGGGAAAAGGAAAAAGAGAGGGAAAGGGAGAGGGAGAAGGAAAAAGAAAAAGAAGAAAAAGAAAAACTGGAGAAAGCAAAAGAGCAAGAAAGGGAGAATGAGAAAGAAAAGGAGGCAGAGACAGAAGAGAAAGAAAAGGAGGAGAAAGAAGAGGAGAAACCAGCAAATGAGGCTCCTGAGCCTGTAGAACCTGTGGCAACACCTGTAGTAGAAAAACAAGAAAGTGAAAGCAGGAATAACAAGGAAGAGAAAGGTATGCTTGCACACAAGTAGGAGTTGTCTTTCTTGAAGCTGAGCCACAGAGCATAGTGTAGTAATCTAAGAGTCTAATTTGAATACCTAATTAAGTGCATCTAGACCATTTATTTTCCTGGCACATTACAGCTGCTGACTGTGTCCTTTGAGCTAGACCTGTTTGGCCAGCTCATCAAAACGTTAAAGGAAAAATTGGTTCTGTGATTTAGGCTGGACATAGAAGAATGCAGGAAAAAAAAATAAGCTTGCTTTCTTCTTGATAAGAGGGTCAGCAATTCATGTTGCCAAGAAGCAATGTGAATTATTTCAGCTATTCTGTTCTTTAAGCAAGCCTAGAGAAGTAGATGCGAAGAGCATGTTTAAACTTGGTGCATTTTTTTTGTAGTGGAGCTTGAATGCAACAGGAAAACTGTTATTAAACAACATTTTTCTAAGCTTTAAATGGATAAAAGTGATTGTGAAACTGAACTTGGATGCATAAATAAGTTGATCCGCATTTAATATGGTAGCATTGATGCAGCACTTCTTAAATTGCACGGTATTGCAACATAAATGACAGCTGATTGTACAGTTCAAGTTTAAAAGGGACGCTGAGAGATGGATTAATGACAATATTTTGAGGTGCTGTTCTTAACATTTTTGCATGTCTGTTCTGAGAACTAAAACTGTGAGGTTAGAGAAAGGTTATTCATCTTATAGAGGTCCTTTATTTGATGCTCTGGTTAACATGAAATTATTGTAGTTTTCAGATGTACTCGTCTCACATCTGTTTGGTTTTGGTTTGGTTTGTTTTCCCAGAAGATCAGCCAGTCTTTACCCGACAAGACAGTGGTCGGAATGAGAAAGAGAATGCACAGGTGACTCATGAGAGTGAGCCAGATTCAGGATCTCAGCCACGTCCTGCTGTTTCCTCAGGCTATTCTAAACAGTTCCAGAAATCACTACCGCCAAGATTTCAGAGGCAGCAGGTAACTAACAAGTTCACTAAAATGATGTCTTTCTGCCTCATTCTAAATAAGGATGTGACTGTAGGGATTCTTTTTAAAAGTCTGAGGTGTTGGCTTCCAGCTTCTGTGATATCTATTGTATTGGCAGAATTTCCTTTGCAGTAAGCACTTCTCATCCCTTGCAAAGTGTATTAAGGGAGGACAAGACAAGAGAGGCTTTCAACACCGGCTGCTTTTTGCATTGATTGTTGGAAGTAGAGCTTTGCCCTGTAGATTCTTTTGGAATCTATCTGATTATCATTGTTTCTGCAGCTCTTCTTTAAAGGGCATGACACTCATGAATGTAATTTGCACTCAGTTCCTATGCTCTGAAGAGCACTTGTGATTCACAACATGCACAAAGTGTAGATTTTCCTATATCTCAGCCAAACACTAGTAAAACTGTAGTTATTCTAAATTGTCCAGCCTTTTTTTTCCCCTCCTTTTCTCCTTGTTCATCCTGATTCATATTTGAGATTAATTTTCAGGATGCTTAGTATCCCAGAGGGGACTACACTTGTTGTTTCTAAGGGTTATTAATTCTGCTCAAGTCTTAATCTTTAAAAATAATAATTTAATCTTGTAACACTGTTTTCTATCATTCAGGAGCAGATGAAGCAACAGCAGTGGCAGCAACAGCAGCAAGGTGTACTTCCACAGTCTGCTCCCTCCCAGCCCTCTAGTGGCCCTGTACCTCCTCCCCAGCATAGACCCCTTTACCAGCCAATGCAGCCACATCCTCAGCATTTAGCTTCAATGGGCTTTGATCCCCGGTGGCTAATGATGCAGTCTTACATGGACCCACGAATGATGTCAGGAAGGCCTGCAATGGATATGCCTCCAATCCATCCAGGTAAAATCTGGCAGCACGTTGACTGTTGAATTTTCTCAGTTTTGAAATAGATGTCTTTCCTTAGCCTGTGTCTAGTAATTGTAAATGGGTAGGTTTTATAAAAAAAAAACTACATTATTTGAGACTAAGTAGATTTTAGTGATACTGCGAGAATGATACAGTCATACATCAATGTATATCTTTGACTAGAAAGTAAAATGACAGCTTTCTCTTGTATCAAGGCATGTTAGTGACAGGGCTGTATTCAAAATGTCATCGTAAGCCTTACTTGGCTGCAAATGTTAAAGCTGGCATGAGTTGGGTCATTACACTATAAAAATGGTGTGTTTAACTATTTATCTCTCGTGTTAGCACTTGGTACCACTTTATTTAAAAAATATATCCTTTATTTTTTTATCTTGTGTACTAGCTAGCACCTTCAGAATACTTGCTATATTTCTGTTCTCAGATTCCTGGCACTAAAAGTCCTTTTTAACTTTTAGAATGGCTGTCTGACTTGCAATTAGAAAAGCTAAATTCTTTAAAATGTTAATAAAAAAAAAAAATAGACCTGTAGTCCTTAACAGGGTACCATAAAACACTTGTATGTACACTCATCATGCCTTTGCCATTCGGATCTTGCAGCAGAAAATTAATCCACAAGTTTACAGATGTACAGGCCTGGTTCTTTCCATTATAGTGGAAGCAGACAGCTTTCCATTTTGTTGTTACATAGGGTAAGGGTGGTGAATAACTTAATCATTCTGAAGTCATCTGGCAGTGAAAAACCATTTGGTTCCAACAACAGAAGGTACAGAAAAAAGATAGGAGAAGAGAGAATAGTGCTTCTCAGGACCCCCTGATACCCTCTGTGTTTTATGAGCTAGGTCTCTTTGCTAATGTTGAATTGGTTTCAGTTGTTGAAATTAAACCTGTTCCAGGAATTATGCCTCCCAAACCACTGATGAGAAGAGACCAGATAGAAGGATCAGCAGCTAGTTCGGATTCCTTTGAACACATAGCTCGCTCAGCAAGAGAGCATGCTGTTCCTTTGTCAGAGCCCCGCATGATGTGGGGGTCAGACCCGTACCCCCATGCAGAACCTCAGCAAGCTAGTTCTCCTCCCAAAGTGTTAGAAGAGACTGACAACTTGAGGTAAGCCTGAATTACCTACTCTTGTCACTTCTGAGCAATACACGATAATGCACTTAGCTATGTAATTTATATTGTAAAATACTTTTTCAACTGTAAATTCTGACCAAGTTACTGCTGCTTTTCACACAAAACTTTAAAAGGAGTTGTGACTGGAGGGACACAATGTACTTGGCGCTCTCGTATAAGACATTCCTGCCCTATAGTAGGGTGTAGAAGGGCATTTTATCCCTTGTTTAGGATCCATAATCTAATTTGATGAATAATGATTTGTCTGATACATCTTAGTTTCAAAAGTGATGTGTTAAGTACAAGTGGTATAAACTGAGATAGTCCCTTTGGACCTTTGCTGCATGCTGAGCAGTCAGGAAGGCTTCCTCTGCATCTTCAAAATATCTCCCAAATATTTTTTTTTTTTTTTGCTGTACTGTGGTCTGCATGATACTTAGTGATTTTACCCTGCTAACTTGGGGGCTTGGTTTAAAGTACAGGTATAGTCATTGATACATTCCTAAAGCAAACTGTATATTCGACATGGAATTTTTAACCAGGGTAGAATAAAATGGGTCTCTATAAAAATAGCAGACACTGAAAATGACTGTCTTATGTTTCCTGAAGCTGACAAATCCTTCATGCAAACAGAAAATTATTTAGGCAAATATTTATCAATAAGAACTTTTCTCCCACCATAACATTTTTAATTGCCTTTTCTTAGGTCTGAGGCACACTTGGAGCAAGAACGAGTTGCTGTTCCCTCTGCAGCTTATCCTGTAGAACACAACCAGTTGGACTCTCATCCAAAGACAGACTTTTTCAGAGAATCGGGAGAGGTGGAGGTACAAAAGTTCCCAAGCAGGCCTTTGGAAGATGTACAGCCTCTCCAAACTGACACATCTAACACTGCAGCTAATTTTGAAGGAGTTGATGAGAATGTTTCACGCAGCTCTCCAGAAGAACTTGCCCCTGTGGGGGAGAGTCACTCTTCATTAAAGAGAAGCATTTCCCATGGTTCTAGTCATTCTCTAAAATCAGAAGAACAGAGGAATGAGACAGCAGCAAATATCCCTAAACTGATTAACAGGTCTGTTGAGTCAAAGGACATAATTGAGAGAATTGAGGTTAAGCCAAAAAAAGAAGTTTTGATCAGTAATAGAACAACAGAAGGACCAAAACCTGAAAAAACCTTCAAACCTAAGTCTGAAACAAGATGGGGTCCTAGGCCAGGTTATGGCAGGAGAGAAGAAGGCAGTGATAGACCAGTAAGAAGATCGGGTCCTATTAAGAAACCGGTGCTTAGAGATATGAAAGAAGAGCGCGAGCAGAGAGAAGAGCGTGAACAGAGGAAGGAGAAAGAAGGAGAGAAGATAGCTAATGAAAAACTGAGCAAATCTGAAAAAAGTGACAAAAAGGAAGCACCTCAAGTGCCAGTGCCTCAGGCTGAGCCAGAGACGTCTGCCTCTAGCGGTGCTCCTCTGGCTAAGAAGATAGCCCAGGATGCTGCCCCAACACCTGCCAGCTCAGAGAGCAGTCAGCCTGAGACTGTGGTTAAAGTTCCAGTTCAGCCATCCACGCCTCCAGTCTCCCAGCAGCTCCCAGCTCCCCAGCCTGTTGCTGCTCCCCAGCTGCCCCCTGCCATCCCGCAGCAGCCGCCTGCTCAGCCCACAGCACAGCAGCAGCCACAGGTTCAGCAGCCAGCTACGGCGGTGAAGGAGGAGAAGCAGACAGAGAAGGCAGTTAGCAAGGAGATTGTGGAGAAGCCACGCTTAGAAACCAGGCCAGTAAAAAGAGAGCCTGGCTTACCACCTAGGACATACTGGAAGGAGGCTAGGGATAGAGACTGGTTCCCAGATCAGGGCTACAGAGGGAGAGGTCGTGGGGAGTATTATTCTAGAGGTCGCAGCTACAGAGGTTCTTACGGAGGACGTGGTCGGGGCAGCAGAGGCCATAACAGGGAGTACCCACACTACAGAGATACTAAGCCTAGATCAGACCATGTGCCTTCAGGGCCTGTTAGGCAGAGAGAAGAGAGTGAAACTCGCAGTGAGAGTTCTGACTTCGAAGTAATTCCAAAACGGCGGCGACAGCATGGTTCGGAGACTGACTCTGACAGCGAAGTTCACGAAAGTGCGAGTGACACTCTGCTTTCAGACAAAGACAGCCTAATCAAAGGCAAGCACCCAAAAAGAGAGGAGAGAACCGATGGCAAGAAACCTATGAAGCCACTGTCATTCAAACCTGAAAACAATATCAGAGTAGACAACAGATCTCTAGAAAAAAACTATATAAGAGATGATGAGAATAAACCCAAACCAGGGTTTCTTCCTAAGGGAGAGCCTTCTAGACGAGGCCGAGGAGGGATGTATAGACGTGGTGGTAGGGATCCTGGTGGGCGTCCTCCACGTCCATCCACAATAAGGAGACCAGCCTACAGAGACAATCAGTGGAACCCTAGACAAACAGAGATCATTAAAACAGAAGACGGAGAGCCTCCAAGGAGAAATGAACATTACGGTCCCATACCCGTTGATAAAAGACCTCCAAAGTTTGAGAGGAAGTTTGATCCAACCAGGGAGAGGCCACGAAGGCAAAGGCCTGCTCGGCCTCCGAGGCAAGATAAGCCACCACGCTTCAGGCGGCTAAAAGAGAGAGAGGCTGCATCCAAGATAAATGAGGCAGTAACCAGCTCATCAACAAGTGCTACGGTCAGTAACGCAGGTAATGAGCCCTCCAACGCTGCTCTGGAAGTTTCAGGAAGTAAGACACCGGACTTGTCCAACCAGAATTCCTCAGACCAGGCAAATGAAGAGTGGGAAACGGCCTCAGAAAGCAGCGACTTCAATGAGAGGCGTGAGAGGGATGAGAAGAAAACAGCAGATGTAGCGGCACAGGTGGCTGCAAAGGCAGGAGAAAACACCGGAGCTCCAAAAAGGGAAATAGCCAAGAGAAGTTTCTCTAGCCAGCGGCCTGGCATAGACCGTCAAAACCGACGTGGCAACAATGGGCCAGCGAAGCCGGGGAGGAACTTCTCAGGGCCTAGGAGTGAAAGGCGCAGTGGTCCTCCACCCCGAAGTGGAAAAAGAGGGTAAGTACCAGGTTCTACAGGGAAGCAGACATAAGTGGGGTTGTGTTGTCCTCTTGTGTTTCGCATATGCACCTGTGTCTGTGTACTTTCTGTATTTGTTCGTTTGCAGACACTTAGAAAATGGAGTTAAGAGCAGAGTATTCCTATGAATGCACAATGTTAAACAAGCTTAATAAAAAAATGTAGCCCTGTTTCTCAGGGTATGTTTCCCAAATTTTGGATGCAAGCTGGCATGTTAATGTGAGCACTTTTGCAGGTTAATACGTTGCAGCATTGCATTTGGCCTGCTGTATTTAAATCAATCACCTAACATAGAGAAGCATGTTGAGAAATGCTTGCCATTGAGAATAAACTTTTGTTTCTCCATATGGTAAATTTCATTGGAACTTGATAATTAGTGTCACTGCTTGTCCGCTCTAATCTCTGGATTAAAAATGAGGGCTTTTTCTGTGGACTAGTCACTTAAATATGATGTGGAAGCAAAAGCTGGGTTTCCCAGGTGCCACAACAAAGCCAGAATGCTGGTTTCTGACTCTAGTTGCTTCAGAGAGCTTTTGTCAAGGGAGCCTGTAAAACAGCTGTATTTTTACCCTTTTTACATTTGCTCACATTGCATACTGTAAGCTTCTATTTTTTTTATTTTTACTTTTTCCACAGAAGGCTTTGCTAGAGTTCTGAACTGCGTATCTGTTGAGTTGTTGGTGTCTCTACCTTGACTGAGGCAGAGTTCACCTTAAAATTAAATTAGGCACATTTTTCTCTGATTTTTTGGCAGCAGAACATTGGATATGTCACCAAAACAGCTTTTGCTGTTTAGCTTCTGCTCGTTCAGTTGCTGAAAGTAAATGTCTGGAGCCTACTAAGAAGTTGCACAGTAGACACTCACAACCCTATAATGTGATTTGCTTTAGTTCCGTTCTTCATTTGCGCTGTGGCTAGTCATTAATTTTCTTAACAGAACTTTTTTTTTTTTTTATAATGCAGGCCATTTGAAGACCAGACAGCAACTGTGCCCGGTGTTGATCCCACCACCACCAACTCGTTGCATCAGGAAGAAGGAGGTGTTACTGTTGCAGGACAAAAGAGCACCAAGGATGCAAGTGGCAAAAAGAGAGAGGAACCTAAAGCTGGTCCAAAGAAGCCTAAGGAAAAAGTGGATGCCTTGTCTCAATTTGATCTTAATAATTATGCAAGTATGTATTGATAAGATACCATGCTAACAAGAATTTTTAATCCTGCTAGCTTCTCTGGATGTAGTGTTGGATGTTTAAAGCTTACAGAAGAGGAAAGATGGCTTTTTAAACACTAGAACAATTGCGTACTTTAGCATTGCCACCTTTGTCATATTTAAGTGATGTGCGTGCCTGTAAAAGGTGGCATACCTCATTTTTTTGTATAGATGAGAGTAATTTCGGTCTATCATCTAATCTTTACTCTGTCCTTTGGACAATTTTCCACCACAGTCTAATAATTTGCTTAACCTCATAAGCAGATAGTGTATATCACTGAAACACAACAAATATTCCAGACGGCTGTTCATTATTTTAAATTGCATTGTTTTAAGCAGTTTTAGTTCTTAGTTCCTGGAGAGTCTGGTACAGGAAGCTCCAGATTTTTAGTTTATAAATATCAGTTTCCTGTCTTCAAGTTCACCAGTCTAAAGTTCTTGCACTTCACAAGAAAAAACTTTATCGGGACCATCATCTCGATCTTCTTATGGAGAAATTGCTTCTACTCTGAAGTGGTTTTTGCTTGGTGTATTTTACTGTGTGCTGCATCTGAAGCTGTTAAGACAGCAGCCTCTATATCTTTCCTTTTCTATAGGTGTTGTGATCATTGATGACCACCCTGAAGTGACAGTAGTCGAAGACTCCCAGTCTAACTTGAATGATGATGGTTTCACCGAAGTGGTGTCGAAGAAACAACAGAAACGCTTGCAAGATGAAGAGCGCAGGAAGAAGGAAGAACAAACAGTGCAGGTACGAGACACATCTGTAATGCAAAAGACCTTCTTGTGATACTGAGAATGTTGTGAAGTGTGCAGAATCTTCATCCCAAGAAACTATGTATTTTCATCCCTTAAAGATAACTAGATAGTTGTATTAATACTTTATTTTAATTTTAAATGAAACTCATTTTCAGTGGGACGTTTTAGGATTTTATACTTCTTCTTTGGGCCTTGTTGGGTAGGTGGAACTGGTAAACTGGAAATGTCATTTCTTCATGCTTGTGTAAATCTTTATCATATTGCTGGTGTATCAGTTGATCCCAAGAGGAAAATGGATGAGAAGTAAATCACTGTTCCTCAGCTGAGAAATAAATCACTGTTCATGTGGTTAAATACCCATTAAAAAGTTCATTTGAGACAGGCTTAACCAGTTTTGCTTTTGCTGCTCTACAGCATACATACAGGCTATTAGCTGTAAGAGTAAAATTGGATTCCACTTCCAGGTTTGGACCAAAAAAGGATCAAGCGAAAAAGGTCGAGGTCAGAATTCCAAGCTGCCACCCAGATTTGCCAAAAAGCAGCAGCAACAGGCAGCAGCTGCAGCTGCGCAGCAGGCACAGGCTCAGGCACAAGCTCAGGCACAGTCTCCGTGTGCAACGCAGACTCCAGGTCAGCCACAGGCTTCTGTTCAGCCTCAAAACCAGGCTGCAGGAGGGACGGCGGCAAGCACGGAATACACAGTGTCAGGCAAAGTTCTGCAGAACACCCAGGCTCACAATGGTCTAGGAACTGAACTATGGGAAAACAAGGTGCCTGCTTCAGCAGTTCTAAATGACATCTCCAAAAAATGTAAGTATTGTCGTTACTGGACACTGTTTATCAGCTCTTTGTTGATGTCTTGCTTGTATCTGCTAAAGTATTTTGTACAGGGAGTAGAGGAGAGCTGTCCCAGGTGTAACACTAACTGAAGAATACCCCTGAAAAGAGATTTTTATGGAGTGATACTACTCAGTATTTTATGTTGTTGTCACGTTCTTGTCACCCTTCAAAAAATCTGTGTTACTGGACTTGAGCAAGCTTCAAAATGTGATGATCCCACTTAATAAAACTACCTAAGGAACATGTTGTTAACTCCTGAATAGGCTAAAAATTTCTAAACTAGAACCTGGGTAATCAATAAATACATCTAAAATTTAATTCTCCTCAGTCAGTTGGTAACTTCAGTCAAATGCATTTGGCAACCTCAGGGTTTTGTCTTGTTTTGGTTTAGGTTTTTATTTTTTAACTCTTTTCTCATTTATCAGTGGGACCCATTAGTCCACCTCAGCCACCTTCAGTCAGCGCTTGGAACAAGCCTTTGACATCTTTTGGATCAGCTACATCTCCAGAGGTAAGGGTGAAAGGAAGAAAAATAACTCGTGCACGAAGCTTACCTAAATTATTTATCACTGGGATTGGGTACAGATTATCCATTTAGTCAGGCGGATATCCCCATACTGAAACTAGTGTTTGTAGAATTCCATGAAGTAGGGAGATGGTACAGGAAGAGCACAGGACACAATTGAGTGCTTTTATTGATTGCAAAACAGAAAAAACGTTCTTTGTTAATCAAACCTTGGCCTTTCACAGCTTCTGTTGATAGCTGCTATGCAGTGTGTATTTTCAAGTTAAAATACTGTCCAGTTTGCATGTGAACACTTGGTACAGTTCAGTAACAGAAACAGGGTGCCTCCAAGGAATCAAATGGTTTTATGTCCCTGCTTTAAGCAGAGATGCAATAAGCAGTAGATGGCTTCTAACCACAGTAGCTCTACTTATCCCCTGGAATTTTCATAACACTAATTTATAGTCCTGTGGTTTAGTTTGCTTGGGCTGTATTGGCCTCCTTGACTTCATTGTTTTAAAGTGTTAAGAATGTCTTTAGTCTCTTACAACACCATTGTGACTGCATAAGGAGATCTATAAATCTTTAGTCTCCTATTGTTTCTCTTGAACATTAATTTTGAAGTTTTAGGAGAGTATTGTGAAAATTAATCTGGACGTTTTATTATTGTACTTGTCTTTCTCCTCTTCTCTACCAGTTCTTCTTGATCTTGTTTAATTATTTTTTTTATTGCTTTTTCTTTTTTTCCTCCTTTTGAGCTCTTATAAACAGTAGGAAGTTGAGGAGGAGGGAATGTGCTTTCATACATTGTTTGTTCCTCTTGCAAATCTGTTGCAGTCACAAATAATGCTTTTGCTGTGGTGTTCAGCTGAATGTATTTGGTGCTCTTTTTTGAACCAGTGGCAATGTACTGATTTAAAAGTCTTTTGAAACATGTTAAATGCTTGCCTTTTAAATAGGGAACAAAGCCTGGGCAAGAAGGTGGAGTTGAGCTTGGCATAGAAACTATTCAGTTTGGAGCCCCAGCTTCCAGTGGCAGCGACAATGAAGTTGGCCCTGTACTTTCTGAGAAGTCAACTGACAAGCTACCAGAACCAAAAGAACAAAGACAGAAGCAGCCGCGGGCTGGACCCATCAAAGCACAAAAGGTAAAAAGTCATATCTTAGAAGTACAAACTTCTAAATAGCAAAGAAATTGATTCAAAAAGAGGTTACAAGTAATTGATTTAAAAATGGAATAAAATACTCATTCAGTTAGGACTAGACCTATAAAAGTTGCCTTCCACACTTGTATTTCCTAAAATAATCAAGTGGTTCTTGGAGAGAAAATGAGGAAGTGCATGTAAACAACATCCTAACCTAGCAAAGGTCATCCATTGACCATTTGGAGCAGGACAGGCTAGAGCAGGAACATGGTTATGGATTTGTGATAGCTTTGTTGGGAGAGTATGGATGCAATAGGGTGTTCTTGTTTTGTAGCTTGGGTTTCTTGGTTTACTCCTGTGCTTGCTTTGCTCAGGCTTTCAGAGCAGTCTTGGCGCAGGCTATTTCTGTCCTGGCTCTGCCTCCACTTTCAGTTTTTCCTGCCTGCCTTCTCCCCATGTACCACCACTCCCAGCCAATGGTGGGTGCATGGTGCTCGTCTTGGTAATCCAGCTACAAAACTAAGCAAATTAATACATCAAATTGCTGGGAAAAAAGCCTTTTGGGGAAAGGGAAGAATGTTAGAGCCACTGATTAGAAGTCTCTAAGGCACAGATGTCTAGATAATTAATTTTTTGTAACTAATCCAGGAAGAGTGAATAGGTAATCAGACTTAGTTCAATTAAAATATTTCTCACTCATCCTCCAGAGATTTAGGTATTCTAGTCAATCATCTTGTATTTCTATTGTTACGACTCACAAGGAGTAATACTTTCTCCTCCTGTCATTTAGATTACACTTAGTGATCTTTAAGATTATTGTTACTACTTTCCTCTTAGCAATTTAACTTCTTGAAGTGCGGCCTTAGTGTCTGGAGGAATTTCTTCAGTTAACTGTTATAGTAAAAAGTATTTGGAGTGAAGTATGTCTGATGATCCTGACTGCTGTATTGCAGAGCTTAGGCATTCACCTCTACAAGTGCTTTCTTTCTTCCCTCTGAAGGCATTTTCTAGTCTTTACTGGCCTCTTGAGGGTACCAAATACCTTAGGGCAAACTCCTGCCCTCTCCAAACCCCAAAAGCATATTTTAAAGGGTCTTCATCTATTCCTGAAACAGATGGCTTGTATTTATAGAGATAATACCAGCAGCTTCTGGTTTTCAGGTATCAAAGCCGAAGCAATAGGATTGTAGGGACTGCCTTTAAAGAATTTTTGTGCTGCTCTGTAGTGAGATGGGCTGAGTAGTCTCAGCCAGAAAGGATATACCTCTTTAAATAGAACATTGAAGCTCCCTGAGGTCCTTCATTCTGCTTTAATTCAGCTGCACAAAAAGGAACTACTGAATTACAGCAGCTACTTTAGCCATAGTGATTACACTATAAGGCAACGCTTGAACGTGGGTGGTTTCTTGGTTTGTTTTTTTTATGGGTATTTCTTTAGTGCTCAGTCACTAGGAAGAAATGTTGCCACATGCATACATTGAAACATCAGCAAATGAAGGCAGAGTCTTTTGTTCTAGTTTGCTGGAGCCCTGTAAAATTCTGAGACTCTGAAAAGTAAAGTTACCTATATTTATATGAAGTCTTGTGGCTTCCTTACTTTTTTGTGCTTGTAAGAAAAGTCAAAATCATTTTCTATCAATTTTATAGATGTTATGTTAGTTGAACTCTGCCACTTCGTATAATAGGTCTTGCTTGAAAACAGTGTTGGAAATTTGCAATGTTCAGAGGGGATGCATTTTACATACGTAGTGCTAACTTATTCTCAGTTGGTTTATATATTAGAAAATACCTGTTGAGAAAGTCTTGTTAGATTTAAACAAAAATTATTTTAAGCATGTGGGAATATTCTTGTGGGGATGTAAAGGGAAGACATAACTGACAAGTTAACGCTAACTTAGCTTCCAGACTTGAGTCCGGTAGAAAACAAAGAGTATAAGCCTGGTCCTATTGGGAAAGAGCGTTCTTTAAAGAACAGGAAAGTGAAGGATGCCCAACAGGGAGAGCCTGAGGGACAGGAGAAGCCATCTCCCACCTCTGTCAGAAGTCCAGAACCTGTCACTGCAAAGGAAACCAAAGCAACGAGTGAACTGAGCACGGAAATAGGAACAATGATATCTGTGTCTGCTCCAGAGTTCGGAACAAACACAAAGGTAAGAAAAACATTGAGAAATTACGGAGTGCTGTATGTGAAATAAGATTTCCATGATGCAATTGATATTTGGTTGCCTGCTGGTGGTAGTTATCTGGACAGCAGAGCCCACTGTATAGCAGATTTGAAACAAATAGGTACTGCTTGAATTTTAGCAGTTCCTTGGAAGTAGTATGGGGATGTGCCGTCTGTCATGCTCCTGTACACAGATTGGCTTGGAAAGTTTTAAAGACTTCTGCTGTCTTCCGAACATGAAAACTGTCCTGATGCTAATCTTGCTGTGGAGAGTGACACTGGAGCCTGGTATAGGCAGATTCTGGGAACTCACATCTTGAGCATGTTTGTGGTATATGCAAGATGAGAGCTCGAGTTTCAACAGAGAACTGCAGTAATGTGCCCAGTGGTTGGCTGAGTGCATGGATGACCTGAGGCTGTGAGTTAAGGATTGTTCTGTGGGGGGAAAAAAATAAATATTTGAACTAGGAATATGCTAAAGCATTTGATGAGGCTTGTTCAGTTTATGCAAAGGCTCTGTATGTCAGTTCCTATTGGCTTGGATATTGTCAAGGTATAGCTCCTCGCAGGACCCCTTCAGGATACGCAGGACTCATGGTAGTTGTCTGAATGGAAGTCTTCTGACTTCTATCCAGTGAGGTGGTGACTTGTCAGGTTTCATTGTTCTACAGCTCCGTTCTTGGCTGTGATGCATTGATAGCACTGTGTTGTTCATGGAGAGGCTCTCCTGCTTGCCTAATGGCCTGTTTGGGGCCTGGCTTCACTTCTGGCAGCTGTGTGTCTCAAGCAAGAACTGTGTGTGCTCTTTCTCAAATGTAAAGAGGCCTTGTAGTTGGAGTAGCTCCTCGTTAATAGTTGCACCTGCCTTGGTAAAGGGAAAATGCATATTTTATGTTCGCAAAGCAGTTAAGAGATTAGGCTCAAGTGTGTTGCATGCTGTCTCAACCTGTCTTTTCCTTGTCTTAAGCAGAAATCTTCTGACACCATTTAGGAAAAAATCCTCTGCAGAAGTTTCACTCATGATTTTATCTGCTTTTAAATCTACAGGTTTTTTAGGAAAAATAAAGCAGTCTTAGCAGGTTTTTCCAGGTTGTCCTGCAAGCAAAAGATGCTATTGCAATTAAATCTTGTGCAGAGCAAGTGTTAAGGGGGATATTTGTTTCCTATGTATTAGCTGCGAACTTGATTTTGAGTGGAATGGCAAATAAGTATGAAAATGCAGTGCTGGGATTTTTCAACCTTCCCAGCAGTTTTCATCTTCTGAGTAGATGTAAATGGTAACAACATAAACCAGAACTGGATGAAATGCTCTTCTTGTATGCAGAATCAGAAGTGTACACTGTAAACACCAGATTTTTCAAATATTTGGTAAGGAGGCTATTTGTATTTTTCACCATCTCTTAAGCTTTAAGATAAGAGAAAGAGACTCCTTTTCTAAGCCTCCTGCAGAATAGGAAACATCCTTGATTACTCCAGACTAACTTGCTGGTGAGTAGTTCTGCTGAAGTAAATCAGTATCATGTCTTCTCTGTAAACATTTGAAAAGAATGAGGTCTTCAAAAGGGAGGTCTGAATTTTATGCCTTTCTGGCCCTAGGTAAATGCAGGTTGCTAAGGTGCTTTGAATTAGCATATCATTAAAATGTCAATCCTCCTTCTCAGGGGAAGACCGAATTGAAAGGAAATCTTCCAGTTTGTGCTGGATATGCAAATTTCCAACAATCTCCTTCTTACTTTAAGTGGCTACTAATAGAAGCATTTAATACATGCTGTAAATAAGCCTAAAAATTCCTGTCTCCATAGTTCTAGGTTTGCTTTTGATTTCCTTTGCCGTGAGTAGTTCTCTGGGCATCACTAAGTTTTCTAGGAAAGGGGTGATTGTGTTTTATATTTAATTCTATTGAAGTTGAACCAACAACCTGCAGATGTATTAGAGAAGTTGAACTTAATCTGGATTTCACAGAAATAAACGCCTCTTGCTATTTTTCAAAATGCCTTTTAAAATAGCTTTAAATACTGTTCCAGTCCTGGAACTGATTTATATTGCAGCAGCTTTCTCATGTCTTCGCAGCATTGTCTTCACTCATTAATGAGGGAAGAGGTGACAGTATCTTTAATCTGTTGTTTGAATGTCAGGTGTTAATGTTGTTAGCAAACCTAAATGATTTATCGATCACCAGCAAGGCACACTTTCTTTAGTGTATTTGTTGATTTTTAATGTTTGTGAGAGTCAAGCTAGCTGTCTGTCTTCAGAAGCAGAAGCTTTGCAGAAATGTCATCCATCCCAAAACAACCCCCTTCATAGAGCAGCATGTGCACTTAACCATACAGGTCTGTTCTACCTGAGAAGCTGCAAATATAAATAACCTCATGTTAATGAGCTGTTTATCAGGAATGTAAGTGTGATGCTATGAAGCAATTCCAGCTGGTTTTCTCAGGTTTTGTAGTATTTTTGGAGTAAAACCAAACTGTTACACAAGTGTCTGGATCGGGTGAGACACCTTTAGCATTCCCCCAGTCATCCATCTCAAACTAGTTTTGAAGCTTTCAGATCACAGGAGTGATCAGTAACTGGTTGTGGATATGGCAATGAAATGTTTGTGTAAGTAGTTGATAAAGGTTTGTCTTTTGGAGATGATGTCAAAAAGGACACTTGCTTTACTTCAGAGTACAGTTCTTGAGATGGTTCAGTGTCTGACAAGCTCTCTGGGTTAGATGCTTTCCATGAAGCAGGAGCAAACCAAACATTGAGGAAATATTAATGATTTGTAGTCCCCTGCTCCTTGTAGTAAGGTCACCTCTGAGGTCTACCATATCCTTTTGCTCATAAAGTCACAGGTTTGTGATCTCTTCTTTTTGAGCAAAGTAGGTACTTATAAGAAGTTTGCCTGTTTTTTCTTCAGATATAAGTACCCTGTAGGTAACTTCCAAAAAACATGTACAGCTTTTTGCTTTTGCTATTATTACAGTTATTAATTTATATCAACCTATTCAGTTGGGTTCTTCAGTAAAAGTTGTACAGAAAGTTCATTTTAATTGAACTAGGAAAGCTTATGATGGTTGAGATGTAAAAGACTCTAGACATTATCAGTAAATGAAGGATGATGGTTAACCAACCTATGACTTACAGAGTGGTGTTCTTACAGTTGAAGTGCTCTCTTAGCTGCATGTTTGGGATGTAGCTCATCCTTGTACAACAGCTCAGCATTGCACATACGCAATGGCAGTTTTGTATTTAATTTTCTTCTAACCAGGAAGCAGGTGAGTTACACTTCATTAGGAGGACCTTGTGATTAAAGCAGCTTTATGTGCTTGCTTCATTCTACCCAAAGGGAAGTTACCCACTGGATTCAAAGAGTAGCGTGCAACTTTCAGCTTGGTAGTTTGGAGTGTGGAAAACGTGTATCTGGTATCCCACCAGTTTAACAAGGGAAATAAATAACTACACAGAGAAATAGATTTTCTGTTTCCATCATAAATACAACAGTGTGCACACTGTAACCCTCTCTTACCCTGTTATTCTTAAGCTTGTTTTTCTAGGCTTTTAGCAAAATAAGCTTATCTTTTTAGGAGGATTCTTTGTTACGTGCTGGTTAGTATCTTGACAATTCGATTGCTGTGTTAGGGGACATTGCCATAGGCTCCAGCAGTGAATCAAACGTGCACTTTTTCATAGCTTATCATACTGGTTGAATGCCATTGCGTATAATCTCTCTTGTGCTTTCAAAATAATTGTGTTGGCAACACCAGGCACTCATCAGCAATTCTGCTGCTAATTTATCCTTCAGTTACCTCTTGGTGTTTGGTTCTGTAATAGGTAGAGCCTACCCTGGGCTTGCAGTGGTTGCTAGTGAATGAGTTTTGGCTAATTTTGAGTTGTTTGGTCGCACTGTTTATCTAATAGTCTTTGGGTCAGATTCTGATAATTCTTGCGGTTCTGATAACATTTGTCTCAAATACAGTCAGTTTTAAATATCCATTCAGAAGAACTAAAAAACAGTGCTAAACATGGCTTTAGAGAGAAGTACCAGTGTATTTTTTTTCATTATAGGTCGTTCTCTAGAGAGCTGGCAGTGTCATCAATTAGATGCTTTCATCAGGGAGTTTAGAGTTACCACGTCAACAGTCACTGGCTGCATCTAAGTCCATGAAAATGGACTTGATTCGTGGCACATGTTATGGTCCACTTAACTGTGATAACAAATAAGCTTCAAGGAAAGCCTATAAGTAAATTGGAAACCTCACCCCTTTTCTTCGTTGAAATCACTGCGTGGTGCAGAAACTGGCAGGCAGACTTTCACTGTCTGGAGAAACTGTGTCTTAAGACTTTGAGACAGGACTTAAAGAAAATTGTTCAGTCAAATGGCAACCATCCCTGCATTCTCTTTTTAATCTGGAAGGCCTTACTTGTGATAGATTTACCCAAGAGATTCCCGAAAGCTACAGAAAGCTTTTGGCTAATATATTTTGCTTTTTGAATGTAGTGGGCTAAAAGTGCCTAGAGGTAGCTAAAGCATCTAGGGTGACGGATGATAGCTGGTTACACTTTCATATGCCTAGTGTCCTGGCACTCCATCACTTCGTGTATCCTTGATTTAAAGACAGTATTTTGGCTCATCTCCAGGCATACGTTGTGAGGTCATGAGGCAGACTGTAATCTCTCCAAAATTCTCCTGACCTCAGTAGTAATTCAGCAACAAGAATTGCTGGACATGCTTTCTGACAAGCTTTTGGGGATGAAACTCTTAACTTTCTGTTGCATGATAAGCTTTCCTTCCATAGAAAGGATGACCTCTGTCCAAAAAAACTTAAAATCTGATTTAGGTAAGGGAGATATTTTAATGGAATTATTTTTCTTCACAGGAGTCTGTAACAGACTACACTACACCTTCTTCTCATCCTAACACAGTGGCTACTAGCAGTACAAAAATGGAGGAGACTTTGGTGACGAACGTAAGTCTATTGTAGTGATCGACTTGACTTGGAAGACAAGAAAATATTTTTGCACTTCTTTAAAGCACAAAATACTGCCTTCAGTAAACAAGTCACTAGAGTTTCTTTCATGATAACTAGCCGTGCACTATCCAATAGTCTTATTCTGAAGGACAGTTGGTTCATTTAATATCTGTTCTGGAATTCTTCAGATATTTCCTTATTTTGTGAACTACCACTATGAGCTGAAGAGCACAAACTGGAAAACATCTAGGGACAATTAAAAACAAAGAAGAAACAGGGATAAACATAATCAGTGTGTTCTCAGCAGCAGTTGGGGCTTGAACCTGGTATAAGTAGCAAAGGTCTGTAGGTGAGTTTGAAGAAAGGCTTTTGAAAACAGCTGTTTTGAACTGTAGCTGGAAATCACAGTGCTTGCATGTGAAGGGAGCAGCTTAATGGTTTTTGAAAGCATACAGCAGGATTTAAACTGTTCAATTGCTATAGAGATGTGATATCTGCAGTCCTCACAAAGCCGATGATACTGGCTGCGTGCGTGTGCTGGACCAGTTGAGAGGACCAGCTGGATTGTGTGTTGTAGGCAGAGTCAAGTTTGTCTTGAGCTTGCTGGTACCAGGCTGGGGACTTGGATCTTGTTATTTTTGTTGTTGGAGTAGCAGAAATATAATTGGCTCGACATTGAGTCACTTGTTGTTTGGGGGAAGGAAGAATCAATAGTAGAATCTCAAGATTTTACAAATATGTCTGTGAATTCCATCAAAGAAATGCTTTTAAGCTTACTGCAGCATCCTTTAATGCGGTTTTGAAGCAATATTGGTTGAACTTACTCTTCTGCTGGATTTTCTGGTGGTGGTGTGATTTATGCTTTTGGTGGTTAGTGGAGGAGATTGAATTCTTTTGCGTAAATGGTGTAAGTGTGTGCTCCATTGTGGCAGGTTGGAGTTGGATTTGCAATGCAGGACATAGGGGCTCCTGGCCACAAACGATCTGTGCTATCATCTGCTTCAGAGCTTCAGTATCTGTCTTTTGGATCAGCCTCATCTCATTGATAGGTGGAATTTTGTTAGCTGTGCTCTTTGAGTGGAGAAAGAACTGATCAGGAGGAGTAGGCTGGCCACTGCAGTGTTTTTGATGCGTTCCATTTAGAACATCAAGGAAATCCATCAGTGTTTTCTTCCATACAGATAGAAATAGCTTTCTGTCAAGTTTATTTCCCTGAGTTTGACATCTTTCATCTTTTGAAAGAGAAAATAACTGAATTCAGTTATTGGATGACAAATCTGTTTTGGTTTGTTTCATGGTCCTGTGACTTTGAAGATTTGTAGCTTCCTCTGTTCAGAAACTGCATCTTAGAACTTGAGAGGTCACCAAACCCCGTGTACCGTACTGGTACGGAAGGGGTCAAACTTGGCTTGGGAAGAATTTTTGTATACCAGGAAAGTAAAATGGTGCTTCAAAGTAAATCCCAAAGCAGCTAATTGGTATTTGTTTATGCAGAAGACAAGGATGCTTCAGAACCGTAGTCTTGAGTCTCTTTTAAAGAGAGATAAGAAGCATCTCAGCACCTGCTGAACGGCCTTTTCCCACCTACTAAATTTTCACCTTATTTTATCAAAACCTCCCTGCCAAATGCTCAAGCCTTGAAGAAGTTGTAGCTCACTTAATAAAGCTTGAGCTTTGCTTTTCTGGGGCTTTCGTAATAGACGTAGTTAGAATGTGATGTGTGTTGCCTGCCTTTCAGGTGCCCCTGCCCCACACCCTTCCCCTCCCTAGGAGGGAGACTCTACAACAGAGCTCCAGCCTAACTCCAGTTTCTCCCGCTACCGTCGACCTCACCCTCAAGGTATGTACCACATCCCTCTAAGGGTTGTTTTCTTGCATGCAGGGGAAAGTTAATGGAGAACTTGCTGGTAAACCTTTTTTTAGAGCCTTCCTTTGTTTCCTCTGCTGAACTGCTTTTGCATATAAACGGATGGCTGAAACACAAGACTGTATCAAAGGATGCATTTAAATTCTAAATTTCTAACCCCATTTTGCATTAACGCTCGGCATCAACCAATCTTGGCTCCCACTGCCCTGAAAAAGGATCCTAGCATTTTAGCATTGTACCATAGTGCTCATGACAAACCATCGGAATCCGATTTATTTTTACCTTTTGGTGTGTGTGGCATAAAGAAAGTTGCTCAGTTTGGTATTAAAGGCTACAAAGAGTTGCTTGGTAAGCCAAGCTTGATTTTCGTAGCTGTAAGATTTTGGTGCAGTGATCCTGTGTTTTGAGTTGGATGGCTGAAGTTCTACATATTGCAATGTAGGTGGCGTGTTGGTGACTGAAGGGCAGTTTGATCAGTTAGTCAGAACATGCTTTGTTGTGTTGTAAATGTTCCGTTGATTTCTGCTCTTCAGTGTAGAGCAAGTGTGGAGAATATCTTGAGTAGCTTTTCCCCGTTCTGATGGATTTCAGATGGTGTGCATTGTATAACTCACTAACATAGTATTGGTCTCTAGCTTTGCTACTGTATCTTTAGAAGTTTTTGGTCTTGGGGTGTGTTAGGTCTGCTTTGTGACTGTGACTGCAGGTGACTGAACTAGTAGAAACATTGCTGCTTCTAGTGTTGAGAGTGATTTTTGAAATTAGCTTCTCTAAATTTAAACAAAAAAAGCTGAGAACAGGGATTGGGTGCAGAACTAACACTTTGGAGAAATTTACTTGTCAATCCTGGTGAGACTTCAGTCTTGCCAGCATGGTTTGACAGCTGCTTGCTCACGTTCTCTATGGGTGATAGCTATTAATGATCTTGTGTTGAATCTTTGCTCTTCTTTTGTTAACACCTTTTTTCCTGGGGAAAAAAAAATGTAACCACTTTAAAACAATAGACATCCAGGCCTGAAAAATGGGGATAGGGCTGGAGGGATGAGTAAATTAACAAAAATATCTGTTTTTCTGTTGCATTCTTGTGTAACAAATTATCATAATCTGACTTTCTGGCACCTGAAAGTTTTTTTTATGAAATAGCTGTTTCAAACTGGTTAGCAGCTGGATTCCTACATAATACAGGTAGAAACATTACTACGGCACAATCCCACAAAGAATGTGATGCTGCTCAGCTACAGGGCAGCCTGCCCTGCTCACTTGTATTTTGTTCTGCAGTTCTAGTGTCAGCGGTTTTATTCATTTCTTAGTGGATGATAAATCTTGGATGTATGATAACAGAATATATTGCAGATAGGTGTTTTAAGGCTACCTTGAAGTACTTTGTGATCAAAAGCTGAACAGAAACTCATTTAAAATCAGCTTTGACTCAGTGTTCCTTACTCCAGCTACTGGAACACTCCCTCCTTTTTGTAACTGTTGAAGGCAACAAGCTTATTTTGAAGCACAGTGACATGGTCACTTCTACAGAAGGCCTTCTGGCCCAGGCAGAGCAGAGCTGCTCCTTCTCTCCTTGCATTTGATATAATCCTTGCTTTTAAAAGGTACTTTTGGAGCCACAGAAAGCAAAGCATTCCCTTCTGTCTTTTAGAAGAGCAGTCTCTAAGCTCTGCCTCCAGAAAGGGATAATCCTCTCTCATATCCTCTTTTTTCCATCCCCTATCACAGAAAGCTATCTGTGAGGAGGCTCAGATGAGGAACTCAGCCAAAATTGTTCCAAGTATTTCACATCATTCTGCAAGGGTGTAGGTGTAAGGTGCTCATCTGAGAAAGCTTGTTGAGCACTGTTTTCCTTGCACCAACTTCACTAAAGAAACCTTTACTAAGGTAGACATCCCAAAAGCACTTACCTGCCACTGCTTTTGCTAGTTAGGATGCTGAGAAAAATAAAGTCCAAAGCCATCACAGACGGAAGTGCCTGGCTCCCTTTATGTTCCAGACTTCAATCTAAAATTTCTGTGTAGGCACCAGTCTGGAATCCGGCATTTTTGGCTTTCTTTTGCCAGTCACCTAAATGTTGGTTTACATAAGGATATTTATGTAACCATTTTTCTCCAGTTAACTTCTTGTGTAGTGAGTACTGGAGCATTAATGTGATGCGAATGGCCCTGATGGGTCAACAGTGAAGCAGCAGCCTCAAGTAGCCATGATCTCCAACCTGTGCTCTCCTCTTCCCAGCTGAGCAGCAAAATCGTACCACTTTCCACAGCCTCACTTACTGTAGAGCTTCTTACTCCTTCGTATGTGATCTGTAGATGGTGCCGCATAAGCACTTAGAGAATACCAGTCTATCTTGCATCCTCTTACAGTTTAAGAAGTTAGAGATTAAGGAGCTCTCTAAAGGGAAAGCTATTTGAAAGCTTGATAAATTTGAAACTTGAATAATCGGTAGGGGTATGGAATAACCTGGCATCTTGCTATTGTTTAGGTTTGGAAGACAAAATTCAGTATGTAGACTCCAGCTTTTTTGCTATTACTGTTTTTTCCAGGACATCCTGAAACTTGATGAACATAGGAGAAGCTTCCATGCATTCTCTGTTCAGATGTCCACAGATATTTTCCTCATCTCTTCATACCAGTGTGGTATATTTATTATTCTGTCTTACCAGAGGCCTGTGTTGTGTTCAGAAAGGAGCCTCTAGTCTTACCTGTGCTCCACGTTATGTAAAATCCTTTCCTTTTCCATTTTGAAGTTTGCTTTGTCTACAAGAATTAGAACCAATTTGGAGGAGAGTGTTGTGATGGGGAAACTGAGTATGAGTATGTGATTGCTGGGTAAGATAGTCTCAAAAATGAAAACAGATTATTTATTTCCAAGTGATTTAATGTACAACAAAGTTTCTCTCCTTCCCCCTTTCCTCTTCTGAGGAATGCAGAGCTTAGCTTCTTTCTGTATGGACATGTATTGACCATGTTACCCACTTCTTTGTGCATTGCTCTGCTTTTTTATCACGCCTGAAGCATCTAGCCAAATAACAGAAATTGTGTTTGGTCTGCCCAGACTGTGCTTAGTGCAGCTAAATCTGGATAGTTGAAAGTGTGACTTTCAGGAGTCTGCGAGTCACAGTTAGGGCGCTCTACTGATCAAGGCAGCAAGGGCAGATTTGCTGGTAAGGGTGCATTTGCCCCTTTACAGATACGTTTAAAGACAGCATCTGGCCTTAAGAAGCTCACAGTACTCTGCATGAGGGATTACAGCCTCTGGCATCCAGCTCTGCTCACACAAACTTTCCATTTCAAGGGAAGAGGACAGTTGGAGGTTGTAGGGATGTCCATGGACTGTGTTTGAGCACTTAAATTGATGGGTGTGGTCTGAACATTAACATTTCCTTTTCACTAGTCTATCAAAAGTGTCTCAGTTCAAAGATACAGCATTGTGCATCTGTTCTAGCGATAATTAAATTGTTGGCTGCATTAAGCAATGGTTCCTTCTACTTCTGGTGGAAGAGAATTTTGTACAAAATATTTATTGGAAGCTCCACCTTCCTTGCTGTGCAAGAATGAAATTCATTATTACAGAAACAGAGGAGTGTGAAGCGCCTGTAGCACTCATGTAAAGCAGTGTGCACAAGCTGTGTCAGCTCACGATCACATTTTGACAAGCAGTTGCTTTGGAAATCTGACCATGAGACTGCTTTCAGGTTTACTGAAGTGTGCGTTAGGTATTTTTGGTGGTCACTCAAAACGGATGACATAGCAAGAAAGTAAGGAGCTGCTTCATTTAAAAGACCCAATACTTGTAAGTGGAGGACTTAAATATCTGGATTCTTTTGTGCCTTTCTTTAGCTTCCCATGCCTTTTGCTCTCCATGTCAAACAAAACCAAGCCAAATTAGTGGGTGAATTCTCTTTTGAGTATTGAACGTTAAGATCATGAACTGTGCACGTGTGCAGTTGGAACAGATAAGAAGCTCCAACTTCAGGCCGTATGCTTTTTGCATGAACAGAGTTGCACGATTACGGTGATTTTTAAGAGGCTCGCATGAAGCCTGAGTTGCCTTTTGAACTAAAAATAACTGTTAAAAGTTGAAGACTGACTGGTTGAACTTCCTAATAGATGAGGAAATTTGTTTTCTTTTTAAATAGATGGAGTCTGCACGCAAAGCATGGGAGAATTCCCCAAACATGGGGGAGAAGAGTTCACCGGTGACATCAGCAGCGTCTCCCATAGCTGGTGGCAGCAGCAGCAGCAGTAGCAGCAGCAATGCTGGGCCAAACAGTGGTACTTACAGCTCCTTCTCCAGTGCATCGATGCCTCCTATTCCTGTAGCCTCAGTTACACCAACAACTTCGCTATCAGGTACTGGCTGTCAAGATTGCAGTATTGTGTTGTACTGTTCCTTGCTTATGTGTTTCAAGAGATGAGATTCCCACCACATTTAATGCACAAGACTTCTGTCAGCTTTGCGAGCATGAAATGTCAGCTCTGAACAATAGTTTCCCAAATGCCTCTTAGTTAACAAGGAGATCCTTCCCCTGATTCACTTCAGTCAGCTGAAAAGAATACTGAGAGGACATCTCCGTTTATACTATTTAAATGTGGACTTGAAAGAGGAGGTAAACTTCTCCTCTTGGTTTACTTAATGGTTTCATTTTGTTCATCTCAACGAAGGGAGGGAAATAAATTTCTTTTTTCTTTCTAAGCAGCTTATAATTCTGACAGGCACTCACTTCCAGCAGACAGCTTCAAATTTTTGTCGCTTCATCCAGCCTGTTACAGTACTACTTTTCATTTGTGCTCTTACTTTCAGACTCAAGGCTTCAACAGCTCATAGCAAATCTCCCTTGTACTGGGGAGAGCAAGTGTCTGACTGCTCTCCACAAGCATTGCTGGTTCCCACCTTGGTTCTTTGCAGCAAACAAAAGATGCTGGATCTGATTAGATCTTCACAACTAGGAATATTAGAGTATATGTCAAAATCTCAACTGAAATGATTTAAAAATAACTTTCTTTGGAGCCAGCCTCTCGACCATGAGAGTGACAGCCACTGTACATTGCAATATTTTGTTGGATAATTGACCAACATGTTTACTTTGGTACTTTTAAGTCCTCCTGTGCTTGAGAAGGGAGAAGTAACTTAAAGGAATTATTCTGCCATGAATATGGAATTATTCATACAGTGATGGCAACGGCTGCATTAGGTTTCAGTGTTCTTTCCTAGTAGCACCTTATGCTTGCATAGATGTCACCAAACTGACCACTGGAAGATGAGGGTTTGGAATGTCTTCAGCTGTTTTTACAATACACCTCTTGTTTCTCTTGTAGGAGCTGGAACATACACAACCTCTTCACTGAGTACAAAGACTGCAAGCACCTCAGACCCTCCCAATATATGTAAAGTGAAACCACAGCAGTTGCAGACAAGCAGCCTAGCTTCTGCAAGTCACTTTTCCCAGCTGAGCTGCATGCCATCCCTCATCGCTCAGCAACAGCAAAGTCCCCAGGTCTACGTGTCTCAGTCTGCAGCAGGTAACAGTGTTCGGCTGAGAAGCCGTGTGGTTGCTTTATTGGAGTTACAAAGCTGGATAAATGAATTTAATTCTCATTTTATCAGCAATAAGGACAGAAAGATGGCAAGTGTCTGTTGTTATAATGATAATACCATGTTGTTAGTTCGTTGAGGGAAGATAAGTTTGCACCTCTTGATGAACCTTTTTTTATTTCAAAATTTTAAATCAATATTCAAGACGAAGAATGACTTAATCTTGATGACTTTATTAAGTGCCACAATAGCTTATAAGCATGGCATTTTTCTTAAAAGAAAGTTCTATGTATAACTAACCTAAACTACATGACTTCAGAGCTTGTTCTTCCCCTTTCATCACCCAAGTGCCTTTTTTGGCCAGAATCTGTTGTTTTGTCTCCTAAGAAATTTATGGGACTGAAGATGCATGTGCAAGACTGACAGATTCTGGGGATGAATAGATACCAAAGAAAAGATACCACAGCTTATTATGCACCCAGCTGTTCAGTTCTGTTTCTTATCCCAGTCTCGCTGGTAGTTGTCACACTGGAAAGTACTGATAGCGGCTGCGTCTCTAAATCTTGCTGAAAACTTGTTTAGCAGAGAAATGTTTGGAAACAGATACTAATTGTATTCCTCTTCCTGAGGTACTGCAGCTCAAATTCCAGCATTTTATATGGATACAAGTCACCTGTTCAACACCCAGCATGCGCGTTTGGCACCACCTTCTCTGGCCCAACAGCAAGGCTTTCAGCCAGGGCTTTCACAGGTACGTGGGAATTTTTTTCTTCCTCTCCTTATCTACATTGACTTTAAAACTCTGCAAATGGGAGCAGGCAAGAGTAGGACTGAAGACTGTAAAAATGAGATCATACCTGTCATTGCTATTTCATACTGGTACATTCAAGTTACTCTCTACTGCTTCTCTACTGTGATTGAAAACAATTGTCATAAAATTTGAGAGAATAAGCTTTCACTCAGTGCGCTTTCATGTAAAAGTGCACGTTCGTATGAAGTGTTGTGGTACAAAGTTGTATGGGTATTGCACAGTTGTTTTGTACCCAAATCTAAATGATTGGTTCAGGTTCTCCTGGTTATTTTCACCAAAAGTATAAAGCACAACATGAAAGTATTTTCTGGAACAGGTGCAATACTGGCTCTCCATGCAACCTTGAGGTTTTAAATTCTTCTCTTTACTTGAAAAGTTGTTACACAGATCCTGGCACACATTTGACTGTAGCTTTTCTACATGACTTTTATCCGGAGATATTTAATGGTTTCTTCTTTCTGCAGCCTGCTTCAGTTCAGCAGATCCCCATCCCCATTTATGCACCTCTGCAAGGACAGCATCAAGCTCAGCTGAGTTTAGGAGCAGCACCAGCTGTGTCACAAGCCCAAGAGTTGTTCAACTCCTCCTTGCAACCTTACAGGTAAGTAGCACATGTAAATTTATTTCCTTTTTGGGTGGCAGAAATTACAGAATTTGCTTCCCTGCAGACTTGTGTCTTGTGTTCAATAGGTACCTCATCTTCCTGTCTTCCTCAAAATCTTTCATTGTTCAGCTGCCTGAAAGCTGTATGAAGAGTGGGTAGTCTGCATCTGCAGATACAGTTGAAAAATTATGGTTCAAAAATCACGCCAGAGATTTGTATCTCTGGAAAACCAGGCTAAAAAGCTGGAGACATCCCCAGTCTTCCATACTAAGAGAACTGGGGGGAAAAAAAAAAGTCTGACTCCTTAATTCAGTATTTTGTTTGTTGTTTTCTGATCAAACCAGCACTGGAGTCTAGAAACACTTTGAAATCATAATTTGAACCCCACAGGTAAGGTAGAGTGGTGGAAATTTCATTCCAGATGCACAGGGGATAGGAGATCACATTTTAGAACAAATGCTTTCTGTTTGTTACAAGACATGATAATAGGACCAGTATATTTCAAGTGGCATTGAATTTGTCTGCAAACAAATCAGCATGCAGAGAAATTTACACTGTAAGCCTTTCCAAAGTGTCCTTGCAGTTCCTACCAGAAATTATTCATAGTGGTATTCTGACGAATGTTAGTTTCACTTTAATTACTTCTGCAAAGGAACTTCTCAGAGGTATTTGCAAGTGCATGTAGAACAGCCTCCTTGTGATGTAGAAGGCTGAAGCCAAACAAGGTGGACTCAGCAGGGGTTTAACTGAATACACATGTATCCTGAATCCTTTAACCTGTAAGTCAGTCCTCTCTGTCCTGAGCACTTTTTGTACTGGAGGAATCCGTTTCTCCAGATGCAGTATGTGGCTTTAGGGTTTATCAGATCAACATGTGTTTTCTGTCTGGTACTACAGGCTTGGCTGGCTGACTATTGTTCGGAAGACTTTGTTGGACCAAATATTGCCTGTTTTTTCACAGCTGACAAAAAAAAAAAATGTTACAAACAGTTGGCTAGTTGCAGAAACACAATCAGTCTGGCATGCAGTCCAGATTAAATAAATGCTTCTGGCTGATCTGGTCATGCATACACCAGTATGAGTGGACTTTGGGGTTGTGCTGTTAGTAAGAGGACTAATACCTTTCCACATCTTTAATGGTGCAGAGGGTTGTAGGGTTTAAATAAAAAGCTCAGTCATTTTTATGTGGGATTTAGTAGCATCTATTATTTTGTTGTGTGCAGAATTACTAGAAAATCTACCCTTCTCAAATGAAAACCTGGATAATCTGTGTGTTCTAATTCTGTTTCAGCAATATAATCCATGTTCTTAAATTTTTGGTGGCTGTTGATCTCTGTTTTCATTTTTATACTTAATGCTCCAATCTCTTGCAGGTCCCAGCAAGCTTTTATGCAAAGTGGTTTGTCTCAGCCATCACCAGTGGTCCTGTCTGGTACGGCCTTACACAACTTCCCAACAGTGCAACACCAGGAGCTTGCGAAGGCACAGTCAAGCCTGGCATTTCAACAGACTTCTAATACACAACCTATTCCTATCTTATATGAACATCAACTTAGTCAAGCTTCAGGACTGGGAGGCTCTCAGCTTATTGATACACACATCCTACAGGTAGGAAATACTCCAAAATGCTGAAGTTCCACAGTGGTCTGATACAGATGATGCAGTAATCAAGTATTGCCTAGCTTGGGATAAGCCTACCTCTTCTGTAATAATTCCATGGCAGTCAAGGTGGCAGAAAACTTGAGACACTTGGAAGAGAATGTGCTTTTAATTTCATAAAGGTGTATTAGAATAATCTCTGGAGTGAAGATTGTTCTCCAGAATAGAGGAATCTTTGCACTTATATCACTGTTGGAGCTTCTGCTTTGATACCTTTTATTGTAGGTGACAAAAGGCTACCACTTGCTAATGATGTGCTTCATTACAAGCTGTTTTAAGTGTTCTTAAAGTAATGGTGTCTTTCACTCTTCCTAGGCCAGAGCTACACTCACCCAGGCTTCAAATCTGTATTCTGGGCAAGTTCAACAGCCTGGCCAGAGCAATTTCTACAACACTGCGCAGTCTCCCAGTGCTCTCCAGCAGGTAAACTATGGCATGGTAAATTTCCTAAATTGTATTCTTCTTAAAAGCATGTTGGTGAGGGGTGAGGGGTGGGGGTAAACTGCAAGAATTAAAAACTGATAGAAGAGCTACTGCAGAAGTACTGCGAAAATGAGTTACTGGGATTTGAATGACCTGCAAGTTCATATTGATCACTTGTCTCTGGCCTCCTTCTCTTAATTAGTTCACTTTCCAGTGACAGGCAAAGATTTAGTAGGTTCAGTGCTGTTGCTAATTGGTTGAGGTGTATGCAGCCCTTATGGGAGCAGGTATCATGGTGGAGAGAGCCAAGTAAACTAAAGGTGTTTTATGTAGCTTAATTGTTAACACCAAATTTCACCTGAAAAGTCAGAGCTGCCACATGTCAGTGAGATGAAATATATAGGAAAAAAAAGATAAGTCAGGAGATAGGTGATCATACAAGCAAATAGGACAGCCAAGTCAGCAACTACATTAGGAAGTTTGTAAAAATAACTCAGATCATGGTAAGTTCTTGGCATTCTTTTATGAAAGTTCTGTTAGTTTGCAATGTTCAAGCATTCTGTTGTATTTACAGCATGCTGCCTAGTGGCTTCCTGGTTCAAGTTTTGATTTTAAGTGGCTTTTTTAAAAACAAAGCTTGCAGTGGGCTGGCTTATTATAGTAGCCTATTTCATACATGTGAAAAGTTGCCAAGACAAATATTGAGAAAAGCCTTCAAAAATTGGGTCTCAACTGTTGAAACTATAGCATAAAGTATTAAGGACCTTTTAGAAGGGTTAATGGTTTTAATGTGTTGAAGTATGGCTGTTGTTATATTTTTCTGCTTTAATTCAGAGCAGAATCTTGCAAAGTTTTGTCCTCATCTGGAGAATGTCATATGCTCTTGTAGTCACGTAGTATAATTTTGGAAGTTTGGGATTAATGGTCAAACTAGGAAAAGCAAGAATTCCTGCTAGTCAGGTCACTGCTATGGTACTTTCATATGCTTATCACTTCCATTCTGTGATGTTTGCAGCCCACAGCATTCCCTGTTAATGCAGACAAGTGAGAGGCAAATGTGTTTTTGTTTTTTAAAGCTTGGGAATGCTGGCTACTGGGATTCTTGGAAAGCAAAATTTAGCTGTGATCCCGAACAGTGTCCTGATGACTAAAACTATTTGAAGCTTAAAAGAAGGGGGGAGAATGGAAGCTGGCTGTTTCATTCTGCTTTTACTTCCTGAAATGAATTACATTTACTTATCCATGCAAGGAAAACCCATTGTGTGATGTTGCAGTTAGGAGTTAAATGTTAACTTATTCTGAAATGCGAAGACCAGAGATGATGTTGAAGGCCCCTTTCAACCCAAATCATCCTATGAGTCGTTAAGCCATTCACCCTGACTAGAACTGAAATCACAGAGCTAGTAAAGAAAGTTAAATAATGACCCTTGTGTATATGTTACTGGTGATTCTGTATGTTTTTCTCCCCCCAGGTGACGGTACCTTTACCAGGGTCACAGCTTTCTTTGCCCAACTTTGGATCTACAGCACAGCCACTCATTGCCCTGCCCCAGTCTTTACAACCACCACTACAGCACACACCACCACAAGCGCCAGCGCAAAATCTAAGCAGACCTGCACAAGTAACCCAGCCTTTCAGAGGATTAATCCCAGCAGGAACTCAACACAGCATGATAGCTGCAACTGGAAAGGTGATAACAGCCATAAATCTACAATACAAAAAATAACACAACACAACTCTGTGCTGTTTTATAGTACCAGCGTGGCAACCTGTGTTTGACTCTTGCGCCATCTAAAAACCTTCCTTGACCTTAAAAGTTTGGGAGAGGAAAATAAGAAAGACAGCTGAGATTAGTCCCTTAGTGACTGGCTCTGCATCTTGTAAAGGTTTAGCTAAGTTTATGTAGTGGCTGGCTTGCTGCTAGTCCACTTGCACTGTAAGAATACTTCGTTTGGTAATGACTTTGTGGACTAGCAGGGTACTTTATTCATGTGGGATGCCACATAGAAGGTAATACAGAAACCATTGTCAGAGAAGCAGGCAAACAACGTTACAATGTCAGGGCTGGTTTCTGCTTCTGTCAGTGTTTTTCTGGTGTCATGCTGGAGCAAACTGCCAGATTTCACTTATGCTTCCAAACCACCAAATGCATTGAATTCATCTGTAATGCTGCCACCTGCTGCATGGATTTTTTTCTGCCATATACTGTTGCCCTATCAAATAGGGAGTGCTTGAGGCTTAGGGCAGATCTAATCTTCACTAATGCTGTCCTGTCCTCCAGGTTGATTGATGAGTGTCCCAGAAAATTCCAGTCAGGTAGCTGTGGTGAAAAACATTGCAAGAGAAGCTTATGCATCCATGTGTAGATAACTCTAGCTAACTCCGTTCTACATTTGTAAGGGCACTGTTTTTTTTTTTCCTGTCCTGACATACAATCCAAGAGTGAATGTCAAAAAATGAAATCTTTCTGATTCAGCAAACTGGCTTCCATTCACATGGTCTCTTATCTTAGATGGAATTGCAGATCTGTAGGCTTTGGGGGTTTTTGGATAGCGTACAACACAGTGCACTTGCAGTGCACTTTCAGGTGGCAGTGATTGGTGATACTGAACATGAACACTGCTGTAAGCTTTCTGTCAGATTAGCAAGGTCTTTTCCTGGAGCAGGAAGTAATCTGTCTCTGGAGCTGCCCCTGAAATTCTTACAGCTTGTGGCCTAGATTTTAAGGTGCTTTAGAACATAAAGCAACCCTGCAGTCCTGGTATTTTAGAGCTGTGATAAAAAAAAAAAAAAACTCTCTCAAGAATTAATTCCCTGTCTTGGACAGTAATGGCAACCAGAATTCTAGATCAGATGGATCAGGTTTTCATGTTGTAACCCACCAACAGAGTGATTTTGCACCATGTAGTTTTCTAGCTTCATAGGTTCTGGCCAAAAGCCTTTCACCTTTACAGTTTTCGAGCCCATCTTCCAAGCAGCAGCTTGTTTCTAGCTATAGTTGTCAGGGAAAATAATTGTGGTTGCTTCAACAAGAAATGAGGGAAAGTTACAGTGGAATGGGGATTTTCCCTTAGGTGGCTTTGCTGCCTTGCATTAAGGGTTCCATCGTGTTCTGCTAAAGGCAGTCAACAATAAATCAAGTAAGAATTAGTTGTTTTGCCATTATGCTTCATAGCTGTGTGTGGAAAGACACTGTTGCAGAGGCTCATTTATTCTGTTGATTGTGTTTGCAAAATAATGTGTGAAATGGATTGCTCCATTTAAAGTCTGGAGATTTTTCATGTGAATGACTTCCATTTTTGCTGTGCTTTTGTGTTGTTTTTTTTTTTTTTTTTTCTAGAACTGGCTTATTTTATGGCACTCTTCCCTTCAGCATTTTTCAGATAGTATCTAAATATTTTCACATGGTATTTGTGGTGAGGAAATTTCAACCCTGAAACGTTTTGATTTTTCTTTGCTCCTACTGAACTAACATGTTGATTGTTGTGCTTTTCAGATATCAGAAATGGACCTGAAGGCATTTGGGGGTGGTATCGATGTTAAACCTGGAACACCACCAGTTACTGGTAGAAGTACTACGCCAACCTCCAGTCCCTTCCGGTAAATCTCTTTTTAAGCTCAAAATTCCTTGAAATCACATCTGGAAAACTTAACTAATCGTATACGAGCAGCCAATTCTGAAAGGTCTGTGGTGAGGGGCTACTAATGGAAAATAAAATGCTTAATCTTAGCTTAAAAGGAACATTCTAGTAGGTGATCAGATCTGCTATGCTTAGCTAGAATAAAATAATTCTGAAATAAGACCTTAAAAATACGTATGAATTACATGGAACTGAACAAGTTAACTAAAATGACCTGGAAAACACAGAAGTGAGCAAAGAAGAGGTGCTTTGGGGTAAAATGTAAGACTGTTACGTGAGAGTAAAGTAAGAATTAAAACCAAACAACCAAACACATCAAAGCTCACCTCAAAACACACCTCAGAGAGCAGTAGTTGTGGCGACAGTTCTGTTACAGGTCTTGCACTGATTGTTGGTTTTCTAAGCTTTTCACAAGAGAAATTAGTAGGCTACTGGCAGGTTTACTTGGTTAATTGGCAGAATTAACAGAATTTTGCTTATAGGCAGAGTGCTCTTCATGATGAATTTATTGGGATGTTTGTGGGTGAAGTTATGAGTGGGCTGAAAGAACTTAAAAATGGAACTCTGGTACTAGAAAATTTTTGAAAATTGCACTCCCATGCATAGTAATTATATTTGGTGGCTTTCACTGTGGCAAGCTGAAAGTGGTCCAGGCTTTTCTAGTCAAGCAGAAATTAGTTTGACCTCCTACATGCAATCCTGATGTCTTGCCTGAAATACTTCACCTAAGAAAAACGTAGAAGGATGAAAAAAATACTTGAATTCGCAAGCTAGTCAGCATTTAGAACAACTGATTTGATGGTATATATCTTAAATACTATGTGAGATGACTCTCCTCTTAACAACTGAGCAAGGCTTACCGTAAACCTTTGGTTTTTAGTGTGGAGGTACTGGGAAGGTGCAGAAAAACCTAAGAGCTCAAAAGTAAAAACTAAACAAATGTCTGTAAGCTTACAAACTGTGTGCATGGAGTTTAGCTGGCTTCCTTGTCACTGTTGCCTTGCTGCTCATTTTACATTAAGTAAAAATGCGTTGCCCACATGCTGTGCATGAGAACTCTGCAACTTGGTCAGTTTCTTAAAGGCTTTTCCACCTTTGTTCACCTCCAGCCAAGCTGTATTTCTAGTTAAGTTGCAACTAAAGACAGATGCATCCTTTTGGTTGAGAGCAGTGTGATTCTGACTGACGTTTTCCTTTTCTTTAGGGCCAGTTCTACAAGTCCGAACAACCAGTCCAATAAAATGAACAGCATTGTCTACCAGAAGCAGTTTCAGTCTGCAGCTGCTGCCGTGAGGATGACACAGCCATTTCCTGCACAGTTTGCACCACAGGTAGGCAACTGGTGGCTTCCTACAGACAAATCTATTTCTCTGTGTCACTACTGACTTCGCAGGTTAGCTGTGTTCCCTCAGGTTTTATCATGGGGAGATGCAAAATGAAATCCTTTAAAAGAAAATTAAAAAGAAATGCAGAAGGAAACTGATCTCAAGACCAAGGCAAAAAAAAATGTGATCTTGTTACCTAGTACAGATCTTACGGTGTGTTTAATTTCAGGAGTTCTGTGCATGCTGAGGAATCTGTTAGAAGTTGTGAATGATGTCAGTTGTTTTGCTGGCTTCCCCACACAGCTGTAATGCACCTCATTCTGGCAAAAGCAGGCCATTTGGTTGGGGAAGAGAAGTTTTGTGCCTCAGGAGGGTCCCAGTGCACATCTTAACTGTTAAAAGACAAAGTAGGTTTGTGGGTGTCTGAGATGCAGCCCTGAAGTATTCTTGGAGCAGTTCAGGTTGGAAAGGATCCCTGGAGATCATACAGTCGGGCCTCCTGCTCAAAGCAGGGCTGATTGCAAAGGGTTTGACTTGCTTCTAGCTTTCCAGGGAGCATGGCTCTAACAGGGTGCTGTGTCCCTGCTGGAGATGACTGGAGCCAGGCTGCAGGTTTGGTTGGTTTTTAGTGTTGGGAGTGTTTGACTGCGGGAGTTAGGATTTGGTTTTTGGATTGCAACTAGCAGAAACTACACAGACTTCTCAGGACTTCCTTTCACTGCTGCTCCTCTGCTGCCTTGCCTGCATCTTGTCCCTTGTTGCGTGCTGTTTCTAAGCTGTCAGTGGTACTTGAAGGCCCAGCAGCATTACAGTGTTGTGTTTTTCTGCAGTTCAAGCGTGGCTTCTCAACATAAACGCCTATTTTCCTGACATTAGTTTGACAGCAGAGCAGGCAATTTTTTCCCCTTTAAAATAACGCCAACGTGCAATCTAGTTGGCAGTTTTCTACTTGCTAAACGTCTTTTTGTTGTTTTTCCCCACATAGATCCTTTCTCAGCCTAACCTGCTCCCTCCATTGGTAAGAGCCCCAAATACTAACACCTTCCCAGCTCCTGTTCAGAGGCTGCCACTAGCACTACCTAGTCAGATGCCATCTCAGATGATCACAGGCCTCATGAGCCACCCTCATTTACTGCGTGTGGCCAGAGGTCTTTGTGAATCAGTGTCTGGAGCCAGAGGCAATCAGGCCCAGGCTGTGGTGAAAGCTGAACGAGACATGAAGGTTAGTGTTTGACCTGCAGCGCTGTTAACGCCAGTTCAGTCTTGACAGCTTGTAGGGCAGGAATGTGTCTGCAAATCGTGTCTTAATTAAAATGCCTCTGGACACAAAGCCAGGAGCCTGTCCTTCAGCAGCTGGACACAGATCTTCTCTGAGTCTGGTTTGGTTTTTGTGTTTTTAATTTTCCATTAATTGGAACTTGAGGCTAAAAAAAAATGCAAGGAGCTTCCTTTCTCAAGTGATCTTGTGGGGAATGGTTGTGAAGCAACCACTGCTGCAAAGGCAAGCTGAGAATTACCTCTCGAGTCTGGATTTTTGAATGAGCAATGAAGCTTACGAACTTGACTGCTAGCTGGCATTTCACATCTCCTCCACCCCTGAGCAGCATCATGAACCCTCCTGTCCCAGCCAGCCTTGCTTCTAGGTTACTCTGCTAACTCACTTCCTGGTGAAGAGCACTTTGGGACCCTTCATGATGAGGCCAGATCTCCTTACCGAGGCAGAGACTGCAGGACAGGGAGTCTGCACAGGGACACTTGTACACGTAGCTCATCTACCTGTCTTCTGCAGGGTACTGCTGGTGAGGATAGGTGGTGCTGAAGAGCTCCCTTTGCCATAACCCATGTGCTGAGGCATTCAAGCCAAAGAGTGTGCTTTACCTGTGTCGCGTTAAAGGGGTGTAGCTGATTAACCGTTACGGGCCCGGTTGGATTCAGAGTACTGAACCAGTCGGACATTCACCAAAACTGGGGGTCCGTTCGGACATTCACCAAAAACGTAATAACCGCCTGGGGGTCCGCTCAGACATTCACCAAAAACGTATTAACCACCTGGGGGTCCGTTCAGACATTCACCAACAATGCATTAACCGTCTGGGGGTCTGGTTAGATTCAGAACACTGAACTATCACGGATAACCACCCTCACCCTAGTTGCATTAATGAGAGCTATCACAATGCAATCAAGTATGGTTTATTACAGCAACAGATAATCAGGTTCTTTTGGATTGCCGGTGATAGTGACTATCTGCAAAAGCAAGCTAGTATGCATGAAATACACAGGTGTTACAGGGGTTCTAGGTGTGGGTTCTAGGTGTGGGTTCTAGGTGTGGGTTCTAGGTGTGGGTTCTAGGTGTGGGTTCTAGGTGTGGGGTTCTAGGTGTGGGTTCTAGGTGTGGGTTCTAGGTGTGGGTTCTAGGTGTGGGTTCTAGGTGTGGGTTCTAGGTGTGGGTTCTAGGTGTGGGTTCTAGGTGTGGGTTCTAGGTGTGGGTTCTAGGGTGTGGGGTTCTAGGTGTGGGTTCTAGGTGTGGGTTCTAGGTGTGGGTTCTAGGTGTGGGTTCTAGGTGTGGGTTCTAGGTGTGGGTTCTAGGTGTGGGTTCTAGGTGTGGGTTCTTAGGTGTGGGTTCTAGGTGTGGGTTCTAGGTGTGGGTTCTAGGTGTGGGGTTCTAGGTGTGGGTTCTAGGTGTGGGTTCTAGGTGTGGTTCTAGGTGTGGGTTCTAGTGTGGGTTCTAGGTGTGGGTTCTAGGTGTTACAGGTGTTACAGGTGCGCAGCCTAGAAATAAACGCGTTAAAAGGATCAAAGACTCTATAGAGATTTATAAGCAAATATTCAGATCTCACCCAAAGGCGTCCCAATGGGGGGGGAAGAGAGGCTCAGCCCTGTCGACTGATCCCAGGAGTCAGGAGGTCCTAAGGATGTTGTATGTCCTTGGGATGGTATCTCCCCTGATGATGGTATCTTCCCTAACATCCCCTCTCTCTTGGGCCAATTTATATTATTTTCTGTCTTCTAGGTGGAGCTTGAGTGGCTCTAGTCAAGCATATCTTAGTTATGATTGGTGTAAAGTTTTCCCGTCTCCGTTTAAAGTAATAGGCTCCGAGAAATTCAGAGCGCATGTTCAGTGAGGGGTGGTCGCACCTTGGAGGCGGGTAGCTTTTGGGATGGAGGTGTGTTTTGGTATTATAATGATATTATAATGAGCAAAAAGTGCACTAGGGTACAGCATTTGTCAAAACATGACAGGTCTTTGGCTTAGGGTGGCAAAAAGTGCAGCTTTGTGCACAAGAACAATCGAGGCCCCACCTGATTACAGAGCCTAGCCGTGGTGTCTCCACTCCACTCTACGCTCCGTGGTGTTCCTTAGAGCTAGCACACCAAGTTTCCCCAGCGCGATAGCATCTAAGGTTGGGAGCCTAGGGAATGCTCAGATAATGCAGTTATGCCCTACCCTGAAAGCCTCTTCAATGCTGTACCTTTTCCTTAAAAGTGTGAATGTTAGTTTTATTTTCCTAGTTACTTCAGGCATTTACACCACAACCTGATGAGCTCTGGTTGTAGCAGAATAGATTTACCCCTTCAGATAGGCCAAACCTCCAGGATTTGTTTTCTACCCCCAGTTTATGCCAGCTGGAGGCCTAACAGGTGATGCTTAGTGTGTTGTCTTGAGTCTGTATTGCAAATTGAGTCGAACTTGTCACAGCAAATACAGACGTGCAGTCCTGGTTTTCTGAATCTCCCTGCAAGCGCTGCTCAGAAGAATGTAAGTTATTCTGTCACGCTTGGGTGCCTGTGATCAAATCATCCAGCTTTCTAGCCCTAACCTCAGGGGATGTCTGAAATTACACAGAGGATTTCAGGTGTCTGTCTGGCTCCAGTAAAATCAGACTTGTTGCAGTTCATCACAGCAGGGTTCACAGATTTTTCTGTTCTGTTACTAGCTCGGCTTCTTGAGACAACTGCACAGTATTGAAACCAAGACCCCTTGTTCCAGGCTTTTGCTTGTTTTTCTGCCTGGCTTTCTGTAAAATGCATAAAATACTGATCAAGAGGTGCATGGAGGCTTAGTGTTTGCATCAAGGTTGGGGTTCCTTGCTTTAGGCAGGTCTTTGTAGTGTTAAAAAGGCATGTGACAGCATTGGAAACAGCACTATAAAGCCCAGAAGATTTGAATTTTGATTCCTGCTTTGCCCGAGTGTGGGCAGGAGAACCAAGTGCTTGCTCTGAAGCCTCTGTGTGCCCAGTGCTGCACTGCCAAATGAAAGGCCTGGTGTAAGGCTGCAGCTGGAACACCTGGTTACAAAGGCTGACCTTAACGGGTGCGAGTTGAGGTTACCAGCAGGATCCTGGGGATGCATTTGCAGGAAGTTTGTGCTTCCCAGAATGAGTGCCTGCCTCGAGCTGGAAGCAGCTGAGGCTTCAGCTTCATGTAGCACCATCCTGAGAAAAGACACAGCTGGCGTGGCCCTTAGTGCCTGCGTAGCTGGGGCAGTGTCGGGGCTCAGGCAGCGTGCAGAGATGTTTTCTGGTCATGTTTAACACTGTGGGGTGAAGCTTCCGATGGAGCCTGCTGTGGGCTGTTGGTACTTTTAGGTGCTGTAATGCTCGTTAGCTGCATAAAAAGGTGTTTGATGCTTAAAATTTGTCCTTAGTCCTCTCTTAGGGAGTAGTGAGGATTATAAAGAGCCAGGGAAACCTAGGCATGATGTTTACTACTGCTGAGGAGCCAAGTGCTGGATGTGGTAGCTTCTGGGAAGCAACTGGATGGACGTGCCTTTCTAGCAAGGTCTGGCCAACACGGTCAGTCCTTTCATGTAGGATTTACTTCTGTGAAGTCACTTTTATTCCTGTGCCATCTCTTCAGTAAATATATTTTCTCCCTTTCTTAAGGCAAAGCAGAGAGCAGAGGTACTTCAGTCCACCCAGAGATTCTTTTCTGAGCAGCAGCAGCAGAGCAAACCCATAGGAGGCAAAGCACAGAAAGTGGACGAGAACGGGAGCAAACCCTCCGAGGCAATTGCTGACTCTTCAGGAGTCTGCCAAGACAAAACCGAGGAAAAGCCTACCCCCGCACCTGCTGCAGCAACAAAACCTGTTAGAACTGGACCAATCAAACCTCAGGCAATCAAAACCGAAGAAACAAAATCTTAGAGGCTGTATTTCCTTGGAGGTGGGGGAGGAGGGGAGGGCGGGTGAGATGACAGCAGCATGAATTTGTAGCCCCGAGGGGGAGACAACAGTTCTCTCTCCCCGCAGGGCTCTAAACAACACAAAGGGACGTAGAAGCTAGCGGCAGTAATGAATTTAAACTGCTGCTCATCCAGCTCAGCTTCTAGGTTCTTGGGTCTTTTATCTTCTCTGACAGCACGAAGGCTGCTTTTTGGTAGTGTGTGTGCACGTTTTACACGTGCGCGGGGGTTTTGGCTTACACACCTGTGTGCTTCCCAAAGCGGGCCCTGCGGAGTAGCACAGCAGGGCAGCAGGTGGCTGGGGAGTGACGTTCCTAGCTGACAAGACGAATACTCTTATTTTCTTCTGATCTTCAGCTGCTATTTATCTTCTTACAAACCCGTGAGTATGAGAACATGCAGATCTGAAGATGGTGCTGGGCCAAGTAATGGGCGTGAAGTTTTTAGCGACTTCAGAAGCTCCTAGCTCGTAATAAGCAGAGGGATTCACCTAGCTGGCAAAGCTGCCCTTCCCGTGTGACGCCCGATGTAATATAACGCAGAGGGTAACCCTGATGTTGAATTTCCCTCTGAAGGCAGTGCTTTGCTGGCCGCTGCTTCTTGGATGACAATATACTGTATTTAGATCACAATATGAAACCGCTACTTGGCCACCTGTGTTCTCTACACCCGCTCCCCCCTCAGTTGTTCACCTCTGGAGCTGAAAAGTTAACTGCATCAATAGCCAGATTTGTTCTGTTCACCCCTGTCCAGCTATCTTTATATGAAGCGAGTGATCTTTAAACGGTTTCCAGCTTATGTCTGTATACAGCAATGAGCACTTAGAACTGTGCCACAAGAATAAAAGAAACCTTATCGGATTAAAATGAATTTTATCGAAAAGGTGCATTCTTTATATCAGAGCTGCGTCGCACCACCTCCTTGCCCACAGTGTGCTGGAAAGTAGAATCAAGTCAAATAATGCCTTTTTAATTGTATCCTCTAGTATTATAGCTGTAGGACAGTACTGTATGATACTTCTGTGAATGTAAGATATCCTGTACCTGCTTATGATATGTAGTAGTGACTGTGCTATACTGGAGCTGTTTTTAATAATGTTATTCTAGAGGTTTTTTCCAGACAATGATTGAAAAGCTAATAAAAAGCACCAGGTACCACATCAGTAGCAGAATTTGCTGTTTTCTTCTGGGATTTTTTTTTTACTTTTTTTTTTTTTTTTTGGAAGGAAGAGTGAGTTGAAAGTCTAATGTGTATAATTTTGTTCAAATGACTGCAGAAGCTGGAGAGGCTGTTGCTGCTATTGATGCCTAGTGAATTGCTATTGGTTATCTTTTTATATAAATATATATATAATTTGAATTTTTGGAAACTTTAGCTGTGATGTCAACTTTGGAAAAAAGTATCCCACTTGTAGTGTGAGTTGGCATTGTACAGAAATTAACAGCCATATTGGTCTAGAAATGTTAAACTTAATTTTTTTTCCATTTGTACAGGGGTAACGCACTGTATTAAATATGTACGGTCTTATTTACATGGGTTTGATTACAGAAACTAATAAAGTATTCTCTAAATAAAGTATCCTGGTAATCTCATGATTAGCTGAGTGCTGCAGGATGCAAGGAGAGCACCTGAACGTCGTGTGTCAAGCGAAGAGCGTATATTGCAGCTTGGGGAAGCGGACTTCCAGAGAAAAACAGTTTGAAACAGCCTTTTTGTGTGTTTCTCCCTGTGCTCGCTGCTCCTGACCCCATTCTCCGGTGCCAGTCTTACGCCATGGGGCTTCCAGCTAGCTGCTTGCATTCCCAGGATCTTACACCGCTGGTGAGCTGCTTGGTGTTAGATTTGTGTTTTGTTTTTGCCTAGGCAGCTAGGAAGCAGGCAGCTTCCTTCTTGTGCTGCTGCTCCTGCTCGAGACAGCTGCAGAGGCCTCCCGGTCTCCCAGCTCGGGGTTGCCAAGCAGAGGAGCTGGAGGACGGGATCAGAGGGTGCTGTTCTCAGCTGGCCACCAGAGGGTATGCTCAGATCGTAACCAACCAACCTTTTTCTCTATTTTGGAGTCTCAATGCAGAAAAACAATTTGTGCCATGGGAAAAGGTGCTGGCAGGCATTATTCCTCCAAGGAATGCAGATGTATGGAATAAGGTGGCTCTGCGAGCGCTGGTGGGCTGGAAGGGGTGGTCGGGGGGCACCAGCGCTGGAGTTCTGCCCTGCTGAGGTGGGTTCCTGCAGCACTGCGGCAGTTGGGTTAGGTAAAGGTGCTGTGACCTGCAACTGGAGTGATGCACGGGATAAAAAACCTCTGAGTCGGTAACCCCACAGGTGAAATGCCCCTTTTACAGGAACCAAACCAGCGCAGCTACAGTAAGCACTCGGGGAAAGGAAGGAGGTGGGAGAGCTGAGTGATTTTTCTGCCTGGTTCATGTTAGAGGGGCCCTCTAAAAATGAGAAGTTGTTCACCCAACTTTGCTATTTTTAAGGGAATTCTGTTAAATGTTTAATCTTCAGCTCTCCAATAAAAAGAAAAGTCAGCTGAATTTCACAAAATCAGCAGTGGGAACGCACTGAGCTTTTGGATGTTTCTCGTGCTGAGCAGAACAAGGATAATGTTTCTGCCGGAATTTAACGAAAAGCAAATGTTTGGGCATTGAGTAGTAACATTATAGCATTATTTTGATGTAAGCCTCTCCAAAACAGCCTTGAACCACCTCGGTTGCTTCTGAGGCCAGGTTAAGCATCCAGTCAGTGACCCAGGCTCGCTGGCTGTGACATCTGACAGATAATTTGCTCTTGGCCGTGTATGTGAGAATACCTCTTGGTTTTTGCCTTCGAGTGGCATTTGGTGTGTAACCTCATTGCCAGGACTCTCTTTGGTCATCACAAATCATTGCATTGAAAGTCCCATAAGGAAGGGAACTACTTTGTTAGGGGAATTCACTATTTTGTTTTCAATAACGTTCAGTCTGGGTAGAGACCTTAACTTCCCTCAAAGGCAGGAGCAGGGGGGATTAGAGTGACTGGGGCTGGATCCAGCAGCCCCGCTCACCTCACGGTTTCTTGCTGGGCTGTGGGAGGGGAGGGATTCTCTGGGCTTGTTCTGAAAAGCCTGTTAAGTAAACCCGTGTATGTAGCGCTGTTCAGCTCCAGCCAGGCTTTCTGGCACTCCTGTGTACCCTGGCTTGTTTTCGTTTATTTTCCTGGTCAATTAAACGACGGACTTCCCACCCTGAAAAGCCCCCGGTGCTGGCAGGGAGCGGGGAGCCTTGAATTCCTGGTGTCGGGGCTGTCTGCTCTCAGCGGCTCACCTTACTGAGAAGCCTTTGGTGCTGCTCTTCCCGCAGCCACTCCCAAACAAGCCGTCCCTTCATCCCCAGCGGGAGGAGGCAGGCACACAGGGGCACCCTTTTGGTGGCCTTGGGGCTCTCACTCTGTCCTTTACCCCCGTTTTGGGGACACGGGGTTTACCATCACCAAGACCTCGACCCCTGGGTGGCAGAGCAGAGGTTTGGCTGCCCCTAGGTCCCCTGTTCACCCACCTTACAGACGGCCAGGAGAGCCCAACGCACACTGCAGGTTTATTGCCCGGAGCGGTGACCCCAGGGCTGTCCCCTCGCCCCACCAGGCGCCCGAGGGACGCAGCTCTCAGCCCAGGTCCCCGCTGTTCCCCTCGTACAGCGCCCAGCTGGTCTCGATGGGGGGCATGGGGCTGCGGTCGATGGCGTGGCTGTGGTCGATGGCAGTGCCGCCGCTCTGCTCTGTCACCAGCGGGGCGAAGGCGTCATCCTCAGGCTCGGCATCCTTCAGGGTTACAGGCAGCTCCCCGAGGCCGGCCACCACGCGGAGCCGGGTGCGCTGCAGCATGAAGGTGACGCAGGCCTCGGGCTCCACCGTGGTGCGAGCATCCCTCGGTTCCCTCAGCTCCCTCGGCTCCATCAGCTCTCTCAGCTCGCTCGGCTCCGTCAGCAGCACCGCGTTGTCGTTCCCGGAGAAGACGGCGTGGCTGACAGCCAGCGGGGGGATGTGTTGGCGATCCACCTCGCCCAAGCCCTGCAGCGGAGGGGGCTCCAGGTCCGAGGTGGCGCAGATGTGGCAGGACCCGGTGGATGCAGCCGCCCCAGGCTGGCACATGGTGCAGAGGGAGTCGCAGCGGCTCAGCACCACGGACGCTCGCCGCGGGTCAGGGGGAGCCGTGGGGCTCTTGGGCCGTGCCATGGTGGCGAGGCAGGCGCATCGCTGGCAGGGGGGGCACCTTCGCCTGCGGTATTCTGCGATGTCCCAGCCCTGCTGCAGGCCTGCGGGGAGGGAGAAGCCCTGAGCCTCCAGGCAGCGGGGGCACACCCACAGCCCCCCTCCCCGTTCCCTAGCCCACGGGCAGTAAGCACAGATGCCCGGGTGATGATGGGTTATGCCTCATCCTCTGTCCCCCTGCCAGCCGGGGCAGAGCCCTCACGCCCCATCCCAGCGTTTTGGCAGGACCCCAGACCCCCAAACTCACTGGCCCTGCAGGAATAGGGTGTTGCCTGGTGTTGCCTGGTGTTGAAGCCTGCGTTGCCTTCGCACCCGGGGCATCCCCTTGTTCCCTGCCCTTCTAGAACAGGTCCCCCACCCTGCTGCTGGCGGGGGGGGGCAGTGAGTGACCAGTACCACTCAGTGAGGATCGGTGCCAGAGGGGGCCAGGAGCCCACCCTACACTTGTTGGGGCGAGTACCCCTTCATCCCCTGCCTCCCTTTCTGGCTGCAGGACCTGCTGGGTGCCCGTCCCCATGGCCTCCCGGCTCCAAGCGGTGCCACCCCCTCTGTGAGCAGCCACAAATCCCAGCGCTGCGGCAGCAAAAGAGCTGCCCCGTCCCCCCGCGTCGGCCAGCCCAACTCACAGACCTGCCCCCCACGGCCTGTTTTAATCTTTTTAATCAAGCAAATCTCCAGGGTTTACCGCTGAAACTTAGACATTTGTTCTGAGTTAATGTTGCGATGTTTATTGGAGCGTCCCCCCCTCCGGCCGGGGGGAGAGCAAGCCTCCTACAGCCTTTCTACAATAAATACTTAAAACCGCAGGTTCTGGAAGCAGCGTGGGAGAGCTGCCGGCGAGGTGAGGCCAGCTGCAAGCAGAGGCAGCGTGGAGGCTCCCGGGCTCCGGAGAGGGGGGACGCAGGCGGCGAGGCCCCCAGCTGGAGATGCCACCTCACCGGTCCTGCTCTTGCACTGGCCTCCCAGAGTGGGAGGCGTTTCGCTGGCTCGGCCAAGCTCCGGAGAAGCACTTCAATTCTCTTTGCTGCCTTGGAGTACAACAGGATTTCACAGGAGGCATCAGCAGAGGCGTTGGTGGCCCTGCCGCGGGGCGGTTGGGCAGCGTGGGGTCCCCACTGCCACCCGGGGCCGAAGCAGGCACGTTCCTGGACGGGAGTGACCGTGGCGCATCCTCTCAGCGTCCCCGGTCCATGCTCACGCGTGGGAGAGGCGGATGGGGTAGGCGACCATGTTGTAGCTGTCCCAGGCGAAGAGCTGCCTCTCCGCCGGGTTGTAGTCCACCATGCTGAGGTACTGGAAGCGGTTCTCGAAGGGGATGCTGAGGGTCCGGCTGGTGCCGGTGGCCGTGTCGTAGGCGAAGTTGACGGTGGCGTTGGGCGCCGAGTAGCTGCTGACGGTGTAGAGGGTGCCGCAGATGACGAAGGAGTTGGCCACCGACTGCTTGCGGATGTTGGTCTCCCAGGTGCGCCGGATCTCCAGCGTCTCGGGGTCCAGCTTGGAGAGGACGATGGCCCCCTTGGCCTTATCGGTGCTGTACACCACCCACAGCCCCGTCTCGTCCACCGCCAGGTCGATGTCGGTGTAACCACCCCAGGAGTAGGGGTACTGCCCGTGGTAGCCAGCGCCCGGCAGCTCCCTCTCGGCGGAGATGGCCTCGGCCCGCAGGTCGTAGCGGGCCAGGGCGCGGGAGCGGCGGGGCTGGAAGAAGAGCCCCCCCCGGTACACCACGGCCCCGGTGCTCTCCAGGGGCCGGGGCAGGACGTGCACCTTGGCGGGGTAGCCCCGGGCCAGCTGCTCGGCCGCCTCGTACTGGAAGAGCTGGCGAACCTCCGTGCCCACCGTGTCCACGCGCCACGTGGTCTCCCGCGTGAAGGGGGCCACGGGCTCGGGGTCCTTCATCCACACCCCGTATTTGCCGGCGATGGAGTCCGCCCGGCCCAGCACCACCGGCGCCCCGACCCACGCCAGCTCGCCGCAGTCTGCGGGGACAGAGGCGTTAGGACAGGGGGTGGAAGGGCAGAGCATGCAGAGCGTGAGGGGATCCGTGCATCCCACGGCCCCAAATATCCCGAATTACCCGGTAACTTCCCCCCCCCCCGCTGCCCCCCAGCCCAGCCCCGGTGGCAGTACCCGAGTCCTCGGCTCGCGGGCGGCCGAGCGCCGTCTCCTCCAGCAGCCGGGACGCGGGGAGCTCCGTCCGCTCCGACTTCAGCTCCTGGTAGCCGAGGGGCTCCGGCTCCCACCTGGGGGCTGCAGGGGGGTGCCAGGTGGTGTGAGCCCTGGTGCTGAGCCGTTGCCCCCCTGAAATGCCCCAAAATGCAGGAGCCTGG